ACTTGATCCAGCTCTTTCAGAATCTTCTCCTCCACGCTAGGGTTTTTCGCCACGAGCCAAAAGAACCAACTCAGGGCAGCAGCAATGGTGTCCCTTCCTGCCACAAGCAAATTAAACATAACATCTCTCAAGAACCCATCCGTTAATTTCCCCTGATCAATCCCCGCTTCCCCGGACAAAATCATCGTTAGAAAACCATCATCCTTCACCGTTTCTATCTCCTTCTTCTCAAACAACTCTTTTTTCTTCACTCTGATTCTCTCCTCCAAAAACCCATCAAAGCATTCCTGAGCTTGCCTCATTTTCCTCTCATCCCCGATGCCAACCCACCTCTGGAACTTCCATACCGTGGCTGGGACACAATGGCGGTAGAGAATCACCTGCTCGATTACGTCGAACGCGTCGGCGTAGGGAAGGCTGGGGAGTTCAATGGAGAGGTATTTGGGATCGAAACCCGTAACGAGGGAGCATATGGTGTCGAATGTGAGCCGCTTCATCAGCTCTTGCAAGTCTAGAGGAGGAGGAAGAGCATTATTGTTGTGGAGTTTGGAGGAGGAGTTGTGGAGGATTGGGATCAGGCTGTTTTGTAGCTTGCGGTGGAGGGTTTTGAGCATTAGGTGGTGGAATTTGGTGGTGTTGATGAGGGAATGGATGGTTTCTCTTTGGGATTTCCAGGATTCGCCGTCGGTGTTGAATATGCCGTCTCCCAGCGGGTCTAGTATGACCTTCAAGTTTGGTCCCTGTCGAGGAGAAAGAGAGTAAAGAAAAATTGCATAGTAGCGATATGAGAAGTCACTTTGATATACACTACAAGATAAAACCGTGTGGATCTAGGCACAAAGCGAACAATATCTTGATCATAAAAAGGTTCAGAATTTTACATATACGTCAAACAGTTGGGTTAGTGTATTTGGGTAAGGAAAACAGAAAAAGGGAAGGAAAAAAAGATATGTGAGGCCATTTTTTGTAGAGTGAGTTTTCATATACTTGCTACCTTCAAGTATTAGAATTGAATGATACAACCTTACATGTGAATTTTGAAATACATTCAAGTAGACAAAAACTATCAAATAAAAATGATTCATTTGTACAATTACATACGTATAGTTATATTTTCTATCCAACCGAATGACTTCATAAAGCTGAAAATTTTCATATTTCATCACCTTTACACATGTCACTGCTTTCTTATTGCACGAATACAATGTTAAAGAAATATATATCAAACATGAAGCGTATCCCGAAACTTGAATGTAAGATCTCTTTCCACATGAAAAAGAGAATTTATGAGGATAATTTCTTATCAAGGTAGCGCCAATGGAATTTAGCTATAATACTCACATCATCATTTTGTGAGAACATACTGCGCAAAATTGTCAGAAGTGCATTGAGTATTTTGTAATCAGTGAATGGACACAATAACAATTTGTAAGTAAAATGTCACTTGTCCATCCAACAATAATGGCTCCATATATGGACAAAGCCGACCAATCAGAGCTGCTTCAAGGAAGATAAGGATAACTCATACCTGACATTGCCATGAGATAGCTAGGCAGTTGCGTACTCTTCTAGTTTATTTACTAACTAATTTGGTATTTGGATTGAGGTCTATTAGACTAACAAGTAAGCTAGATATTGAAAAGACTATATATCATTAAAGTCATCTTGCTAATTAATCGTAAAATCATCAAAGTTATCGCATAGTTTCAAACTTTACCATTATGAGAAAAATCGTTGCTTAATAGGGATAGTGACGTTAGAAGTTTTAAACGTTAGGTTTCATGAAATTGTCACACATAAAATTTGGATTGAATCGAATAAATACATTGTGACATTGGGTTCCATAGTGAGTGAATTTTCCCACATTTTCACGCCTTAGATTTGTCAGTTTTTGTTTTATAATTAATAAGAGAAATATATAAGTAAAAATCATAAGTAAATATTGCAATGTTTTGTGATGAAAATCAATATGAGGATAGAAAGGAAAGGAGGAAGATAGACTTGGTCCCCACCCAATCCTCATGTATGGTTTGTCCTTTCTTTCTTTCTATCGTATTCTTTTCTTTCTACGTACTGTTCATCAATCATTCGTCAACTTAACACACAATTTTATGAAGAGAACTTTTAATCGCCGTTAACCCTTACGTACCTTGGGGTAGTTGTTGAAGTTCTTACTGAGGATGTGGTGGACGTTCATCGGATCCACGGTGATGAGGAAGTCGACGCCGGCGAACCATGGTCCTCTGAACCTGAAAGTGCCTCCGCTCTGTTTCATGACTCTGGTGATGAACTCGTGGAAGAGGTCGTGAGATACGTTCCACAGCAAGGATGGAAGCATGCCGACGACCGGCCAGTTTGGTATAATAATGGCCTTGTTGTTGTTTCGGATGGCGAACCAGCCCAGGCAAAGGAGGAGAGGGAGAAAGAGTACAAGTAGCAATAGCGTCGCCATTTCTTTCTGTGGGAAACTGATCTTTTCTCGGCCGTTTGGGAATGGAATGGACAAGAAGGAATGGGCAGTCTTATTATCATATATGTAAAAACTTGGTTTGTTAGGGGGTTTTGTCTGTCTGTGTATTTATAGAGAAGGAATTGATCAGAAGGTGATTGGGAAAGGAAACAACATTTTCCTTGGGGTGTATTACAAAAATGGTCACTAATCTTTGGGGCCACGAGGGATAAATAGGTGAAACTTTGACAAGAATGCGATAGAATTTTTACATCATTTGTTAAGATGCTACTAAAGATTTAATCAAAGTAATCTAATAATAATTAACTAGGGTCGGTCTAGATTGAACTCAGTTAGGATGGAGGGTTGTTTCGAGTTTTTTTATATGAATTTTGTGTACAAGTGATGATTTGGTTGGTCTAGGAAAAATGAATCACTATATCTCTCCATGCCTAAGCATACGATGAACATGAGAGTAATTATCATGAAATTTAAATTGTCTATTAGGGTCATTTGATTGATGAATTTGATCGAGTGGTGAATTATATTGTTCCCCAGGAATCCATTAGTGAATGAGTATGGTCGATATCTCTGGCTAACTAGTAGTGGATTGTGGCATAATGAGGTTTAATTCGGAAGTATGGTAAATGATACGTGATATTTTGAAATCTCCCCATTTAAGGGAAATAATTCAATGGAAATCATAACTCCTAATGAAACAGGATATAGCAATGGCTTGCTAGAATCTCATTCTTTTCTTATTCTAGAATGTTTGTTGTATATATATGTGCCATTTCGAGATGATCTATTAACTGCTAATAAAACATTCCATGATAGTTTTGATTATGACTTTATTGGGAAATGCCAAATTGGTTGTGAATAACAGCATTGGTGATGTGATATGATAAAATATGGAGATCAGATGCATGATCCTATACAATCAATAAAAAAAAATACTAATCTTCAATTTCCTATTCTCACAATTACCTTATACTGAAAATATCAGCTAGAGGTGACAAATGAATTAAATTTATAGATTAATGAATTGAATCGGCGGATGCATGAATCTAACGGATTGATAGATTAGAATCACGAATACAAGTGACTAGCACAATGTATTTCTTCAAAGCCTATATCACCCATTTGAGGGTAGTGCAATAACCAACGTGGCCGGCCTCCGTTGGCCAACGCCAATTCTGAACTAAAATTTGGCAGTCGGGCAATAATGTCACATCACATGGTGAGGAGAGGAGATGAAGAGGTCGGCCCATAGCTCTTAACTGTGTGTCTGCCATTTGTGGAAAGAAGAAGGACGAAGCGAGAGCGGAGACACCAGCAACGACATTGATTTGGAAGATAGGGCAGGTTGGGCTCCAGTCTTCAAGGAAATGGCGGGCTGGGCTTGAGAATCAGGGCTGGTGGGCTGTTATTCGGAGGTCGGGTCGAAACTCGAATCTGAGCAGCTGTGACTTGTGACTTGAAATTATGTATGAGATGGGCTATTATAATTTTTTTTATGTATGAGATGGGGAAAGTAGTCAAATTTCGTTAGTGTCTGTGTCTTGAGAATTATGTTTTTTTTTTCTTTTTTGTTACTGTCGTGTTTTTCTCCTCGGAGTTTCTTTAGATTTGTCCAAGTAGTGGCTGAACAGGCTGTCTCATTGTAGTATGATTGCATACAGACTAACGTGTTGGTTTTAATTCGGTATTGTAATCGTGTCGAGTCTTTGTCCCATGCCCTTTAGGCTTGCCATGGCTAAAAAAAACATTGCTAGGCACTTTGTTAGTCAATTCACACATATATATCGAATATAAACTATTATACGAGTGATTTATGTACGTTCATTTAATAGAGTCTCAAAATGTCAAACCTCAATGACAATTATTTTCGTATATTTTGTTGGACTTACAACTTACACTATATGTTGATTAGTTGGGAAAATCAAATAATTATTTCTAGAAGGTACTTATTGTTTAAAAAAGGATGTGATTAATGTTAAATTATGGGGGAAAAAAATTATGCTTATAGATTAGCATGGTTTGTGATGTTGCACGGAAGTTAATGTTTAGGTATTTGTGGTATATACTAAGACACCACACAACAATATAGCACAAATAAGAGAAAGAGAGTACCCCTAGCTACATCCTTTCAAGTTTCAACATAGATGGAGCCATTGTGATTTGGATGTTAGCTCAAAAGCTGAACCCATGTGATCCTTAATTAATTATTCGCTTATATATATGTCCCAGCTTTATTGTACCCTTCTGCCGACTCTTCTTTCACTGGCCTGTTTATAATTAATGCATTGTTAGGGAGCCCATGTACAGAACTGGCCTGTTTGTAATGCTTTTTTTTCTTCTTCTTTTTTTGGCATTTACCACCCCACACCACATGTATCAATCAATAATGCACATCTAGTACGTACTCTCCTTGATCGTGTTTTCCCTCGACGTTTCTTCTAAATTGGTTGCATGCAAGGAAACTAATTAATTCTTCTTTTTTTGGCAAACTTCCTCCTTTATAAACAACAAAGAGAAACCCAGCTTGTAACTGCATGCAACAATTATAGCTCCACTCCCACAGAAACTAACGATGTCATTTCTGCTCTTGCTAGCCTTCCTCTCATCACTACTTCTTCTTCTTTACACCATCATGACGATCAGGAAGATGAAGAAGAAGAAGTCACCATCCTCGACGATCCCAAATTGGCCTCTCTTTGGAATGCTTCCATCCCTCCTATGGAACCTCCCCCGCCTCCACGAATTCGTCACTGATATCCTCAAACTCAACGGCGGCACCTTCGTCTTCAAAGGCCCTTCCTTCACCAACCTCAACTTCATCTTGACAAGCGATCCCATCAACGTCCACCACATCGTCACCAACAATTTCTCCAACTACCCCAAGGGACCCGAGCTCAAGGCCATCATGGCGCCGTTTGGAGACGTCCTATTCAACAGCGACGGAGACTCCTGGAAGACGAAGAAGGAGATCGTCCTCTCCCTCATCAAAACCGCCGGATTCGAGAGGCTTCTCATGACAACCCTTCGCTACAAACTGGCCGACAGCCTCATCCCGGTACTCGACCACGCCGCCGCGAGAAATCATCATGACGATGTTGTTCTCGACTTGCAAGATGTGATGAAGCGGTTCATGTTCGATCTCACTTGTTTGCTCTTCCTGGGGATCGACCCGGAGTGCTTGTCCACGAGTTTTCCTCGTGTTCCATGTGCGGAGGCGTTTGATGTGCTAGAAGAGGCCATCGTTTACCGCCATTGCGTCCCGAAGTGGGTTTGGAAGTTGCAAAGATGGTTTCACGTCGGGTGGGAAGGGAGGACGATCGAAGCTGAGGAATGCCTCAACGGGTTTGTGGAGGAAAGGATTAGAGTCAAGATGGTGGAGAAACAAGGGAAGGAGAGTAGTGTTAATGATGATGATGATGATGATGATAATTATGACTTTTTGATGAAGCTTATAGTTGAGACAGAGCGGTTAACGGGGACTTGTTATAGTAGCAAGTTTGTGAGGGACATTGTGGTTAGCTCGATGGTGGCTGGGAGAGACACCATTGCTGTTGCTCTCAGTTGGTTCTTTTGGCTCGTGGCCACCAACCCAGGCGTGGAGGACAAGATCTTGGAAGAATTGGATCGAGTAGTCATTACTCAAACAGGTAAAAAAAAAAACGTTCAAAGGACACTTTCTTTACAATAGAGAATAAAATTGTTGTTGTAGCATGAAAGAACTGGATGAATGATTCGATGTATGCACCCTAAACTGTATATGGTCAGATTGACTCTTGATGGCTATCTAATTCTTTTGTTACGTATTTGCAGGTGAAAAAGAAGTGATTTTTTCGAGCACAGAAGAGTTGAACAAAATGGTGTATCTGCACGGGGCCATAAACGAGACTCTGAGGTTGTATCCGTCGGTTCCATATGAGCCGAAGCAATCCCTCAAAGACGACGTTCTTCCCAGCGGCCACATCGTTGGCCGGAACGCTAGGGTTTTAGTGTCCATTTACTCGATGGGAAGGATGGAAGATGTATGGGGTAAGGACTGGATGGAGTTCAGACCCGAGAGGTGGGTTGCAGCAAGATTCGAAGGGAACGATATCTGCAACAATGATAACAAGAAGATCAATATTATTCACGTGCCATCCTACAAGTTTGCGGCATTCATGGCAGGGCCAAGGTCGTGCTCGGGGAGGAAGATAGCGTACACACAAATGAAAACCATAATAAGTTGTGTTCTGCGCATGTATAAGATCGACGTGGTGGGTGATCATCCCGTTGTCCCGCTGCCTTCTATTATGATGTTCATGAGACATGGTTTGAAGGTCAGGATTTCAAGCAGGACACCAGTCAGTACTACTACCAATGTTGTCAACTCGATTTTGCCGGTTGACTCGGTCGAATAAGTAAATGAAAGATTAGTTATCGGATTGGTTTATCCGATTTAGTTCGAGTATGTAGCTATTATATAGTTACTATAATTTCTCTTGTCATTTAATATCTTGTCATTTCTCTTTTAAAAATTATAAAGTGACTTTGAACAAACTCCAAAATTTTATATTCTTACATAATGCTCTAAATTTTCATTATGAATTATTATAAATAAGAATAATAATAATTATTATTATTATATATAAGTGCAAATAAAATTCACTGTTCCTTACTAAAAAAATAAGATAGTATTAAATTTGTTTCACCTTTTTTTTTAGTTGGCACTGTTCACAATGGGTTTTTTATCCCCTACATCCAATTTATCATAAGCTCTTTTTTCTCTAGAGATTTTTATCCCCTACACTCAATATTATCATAAACTCATTCTCTCCTACACTAAGCTATTTAGGTAATTTTTTCCTCTACTAAACATAATTTCACCATAAGCTCTTTTTTCCCTATAGCCAACCATAAAACTTACACTCCTCTTATAATAAGCTATTTAAGTAATTTTTTTTCCATCTGCTACACCTAATTTCACTATAAGCTGTTTTTCTTCTATAGTAAGTTATTAAGGTAGTTTATTTTCATATCATACACTTAATTTCACCATGATTTCTAATTCCCCAGTAGTCAACGATATTTTGTAAAACAAATACATTACGTAGATTTTTTTATTAGCTTAAATGTTCATTATCTAATCAATTACAATTATACAAAAATTCTTGTAAGGTAAGATAACTTTTACCTTGTCGTTTAATCAAATGTAAATGTAATACTTTAAATAACTAACCTAAGTTTATCGTTAGACCACAAATTATAAAAATTTTATGTAACTACGTTCTATAACAATTACGAAAATTCCATATAAAAACTTAGGACCTTGCTACGGTGACATTTTTCCCTCTCTTCTTTTATTCCTTGGAAAACTGTGCAAACCATTTTGAGAACATATATATATGACATCTCACAAGCAAAAAGACAATTCACCATAAATCACGAACATAATTAATCTTTTTCCAAACTGATCATCAACGAACATCCACCCGATAATATACACATCATGCCCTATAAGAAACTCTAACCTTGAGTCCATACTTCATGAACATAAGAATGGAAGCGTCAGGAACCATAGGATGGCCATCCACCACCTCAATCTTAAACCTACGCAGAACACAACTGGCTATGGCTTTCATCTGAACGAACGCTATCTTCCTCCCCAAGCACGTCCTCGGCCCCGCCATGAAAGCCGTAAACTTGTAAGCTGGCATGTGGCTAACCACCATCTTCTTCTTCTCATCCACAGACCCAACTGAAATCCACCTCTCGGGTTTGAAGTCCATCCAATCCACACCCCATATCTCTTCCATCCTCCCCATGGAAAAGATGGATAGTAAGATCCTGGTGTTGCCATCAATGGCGTGCCCGCTCGGGAGCACATCCGGCTCGATCGATTGCTTGTGTTCGTAAGGCACTGATGGGTACAACCTTAGGGTTTCACACATGGCTCCATGAAGATACACCATTTTGTTCAGCTCCTCTGTGCTCGGAAAGCTCGTCTCTTTCCCCATAACTTGATCCAACTCCTTCAGAATCTTCTCCTCCACGTTAGGGTTTTTCGCCACGAGCCAAAAGAACCAACTCAAGGCAGCAGCAATGGTGTCCCTTCCTGCCACAAGCAAATTAAACACGACATCTCTCAAGAACCCATCCGTTAATTTCCCCTGATCAATTCCCGCTTCCCCGGACAAGATCATGGTTAGAAAATCATCATCCACCACGGTTTCCATCTCCTTCTTATCCAATGCCTCTTTCCTCTTCACTCTGATTATCTCCTCCAAAAACCCATCAAAGCACTCCTGAGCTTGCCTCATTTTCCGCTCCTCTCCGATGCCAACCCACCTCTGAAACTTCCACACCGTGGCTGGGACACAATGGCGGTAGAGAATCACCTGCTCAATCACGTCGAACGCGTCGGCGTAGGGAAGGCTGGGGAGTTCGATGGAGAGGCGAAACCCGTAACGAGGGAGCATATGATGTCGAATGTGAGTCGCTTCATTAGCTCTTGCAAGTCTATAGGAGGAGGAAGAGGAGCATTGTTGTGGAGTTTGGAGGTGTTGTGGAGGACTGGGATCAGGCCGTTTTTTAGCTTGCGGTGGAGGGTTTTGAGCATTAGGTGGTGGAATTTGGTCGTGTTGATTAGAGAGTGAATGGTTTCCCTTTGAGATTTCCAAAATTCGCCGTCGGCGTTGAATATGCCGTCTCCTAGTGGTTCAAGTATGGCCTTCAAGTTTGGTCCCTGTTGAGGGAAATGAGAGTGAACAAGCAGTTAGTTTCATTTGGTACTATGGTAGTATGAATAAGTTCATAATGAGGATATGCTGGGCGTTCAAATTTGAGGTTAGACAGAAGGAAAAATGGGTGGGTATGGACTTTTCTTTATATTGTTAATTAGATTCATTAATTGCTAGAAAGGGAAAAGGAGAAGTGTGTGGGATTAATGGTGTGATTATCAATATAGGCGGTGTTTCGTTTGGTGTAGATATAAATTGATTTATGTAAATATTATTCAGGTCTTATTGTGTGAAATGTGTTTGTATATACGTTGGTCGGTTGGTTTAGTGTATTTGTGCAAGGACAAAAAAAAAAAAAAAATGTTACGTGAAGCCATTTTTTCTAAAGTGAGTTTTCATAATGCTTTCTAGTCGACCCTTCAAGAATTAGGATTGAATGATGCAACCTTACATGTGATTTTTTTTATTTATAAATACATGTGAATTTTTAAATACTCCGCGAGTACATGAAAAAGTACGAAAGAAAATTGATTCGTTTGTTCAACTACATATATTCATACAAACTAAATATCTTTTCCATCCAACCAAATCACTTCATAAAGCTGAAAATGTCCTTCTCATGAAAATTTTCAATTTCATCTTCGTTACACATGCTACTGTTTTCTCCTTGCATGAATATAAGATTGGATAAATATATATAGGATGAGAAACGTATCCCAAAACTTGAATGCGAGATCTCTTTTCACATAAGGATGATTCCTATAATACTCACATCATCGTTTGTGAGAACATATTTAAAAGATGGAAATTAACTGTCAAAAAACGTTGAGCATTTCGTAACCGTTGGATGAAGGCAATAACAATTGTAATTGTAAGTACAATTTCATTGTGTCCATCCAATGATTGCGGAACACCCACCACATATATAATTCAATGACTATAGCAGGGTTGACTTTGGTAAGGAAGGGACCTTTGTCTGAAAATGGTAAAACTTTGGACACACGAAAGATGCTGCTTCTTATAATTGAGTGTTATGTACAGCTCCATATGGACAAAGCCGACCAATCAGCACTGCTGTGCTGTCTAGGAAGATATAAGGACCTGACATTGCCACGAGATAGCTACTAGCTAGGCAGTTGCGTACTCTTTTAGTTTATACACTGATTTGGTATTTGGATTCAGGTCTATTATACTAACAAGTAAGCTAGATATCGAAAAGACCATACATCCATCAAAGTCATCTCACTAATTAAATGGCAAAATCATCAAAGTTAACACAAAGTTTCAAGCTATACCATTATGAGAATTTTTTTTTGCTTAATACGGATAGCAACGTTATAATATCTAATCGTTAGGTTTCATGAAATTGCCACACAATAAATTTGGATTGATTCAAACAAATACTCTGTAGCGTCAGGTTCCCTAGTGAATGAATTCCCCCCAATTTTCACCTCTTAGATTTGTCAGTTTTTGTTGTATTAGTTAGAATTATTAAAGCACAAGCAGCCAAAACTTCCCAAAAAATGAAAAGCACTGTTCATCACGAAAAAATCGCCTGCACTGTTCACGAGGAGGGTGGGTGACCCTCTGCGGTAGGATTCACGTGAGCTCATGTATATTTATCTTTGGCAGATAAAGCATGGCCGTTGATGTGATCGCCCACCCTTAAAAAAAAAAGAATACAAAAATGGTGGGTCCCACGTGCCAGACCTTCTGCCTAGACCTCCTTCCCTTCTCTCCCCTCTCGACTGCTGTTTCTCCCTCCTTCGAAACTACTGAACGGACGCGGGCTGGAGACGGTGGCGACAACAGAACTGATTGGTCGCCTCTTATAAAAAAAAGCTTCCCTTCTCTCCCCTCTCGGCTGCTCTTTTCCCCTTGTCATTCCGGCGCCGCCAGATTTGCCCGGGAATCACATTTCTTCTTCTGGATGAAATTGAAGCACAGGATCTATTCTCCGCAGAATCGAAGGCGTTCCTGAACCGGCTGAACGGCACGCCGGTGGGAGACTCGAGATGCCAAACTTCTCCGGGAAATCCCTTTTCTTCTTTCCGACGAACTTCCTTCAATTCCTTCTTTAGGAAATGATCAAAATCTTTTCTCCTGCATGGCTGCATCTAGACCAGAGCCTCCGATTTCTCTTTAGAAGAGAAACATTCGTAGAACAGACCCTTAGAGTTCCCTTAATCGGAACAGAGCCTCCGATTTCCCTTTATCCAACACGAGGAAGAATAAAAAAACTCATCCAGGCCAAGGCCATCTCTCTATTTCTGGCGACCGGCAAAAGCTAGCAAGGAAAAATTAAATTTTAAGGGTGCTTGATTGATAATTGAGGAAGAGATTGGTTATCACTCTTCTTTCCCTGCTGTAGCTAGGTTGGAATCTTATGAATTTTAAGGGTGCTTGATAATTGAGAAAGAGAGTGTTGACTTGAGAGGCAGAGGAGAATGAAGGGGAAATATGGGTGGTGACGTGACACCTGTTTCTATTTGCGCTCAGTCTAAGCCCAAGTGTCCAACATGCAAATCACTAGACTTTTTTTTCTATGATATCAGCTTGGTGTAATTTAAGGGAGGAAGACAAGAAACGTATAACATTGGCAAGTGTGGATGTGATGCTCTTTCTCTCTAACACATCAGCAAAACCTTCAAGGCTTCAACTTCTCCATCGACAAGTGTTTAGATAATTTCTCTTTTCCTTCTTTGTATTCTTACCCAAAATAATGAGCTCTAATTCGTCCTAGTTTGTGAGGATAATTCTGATCCATTTCTTATCATTGTATGCTCAATTGGCTAATTACGTTTTAGTCGGATGTATATATGTTCCGAAAGGAACTTCTAATTGTCCAACCATGTTTAATTAAGACTTATACGCGGATCAAAATCTTATGGGAGGAGGATATTCACATATGTTAGAATTATTAGTTTCACAATAATACATGTAACTCGGTGCTTACATTCCCATTCAAGCTAAGAATTCCCAAATAATTGCCTTCTCTTAAGTTTATGGCTCCTATGGTTGTTTGATCATGGGATGAGTATGATTATTTTTTTTCTACAGAGAGAGGTTAGAAGTAGCTAGAATAAAGTGACAACTTATCCAATATACTTTATTGAAAGAGAGCAACAAAGTTGTACAATATAACCGATACTGAGATTAGGAAAGTAACTCGACTGAAAGGAAAGAGATCTAATTTTGATAGGACTGAAAGCATTGGCAATCGAGAAGCATAAAGAAGTTGATCTAAAAGAAACTTCCAATTTTTTATTCGAAGATACTATGCTTATTTGAAATAAAAATGAGTTCAGCAAAGAACTATGTAATGGAAGCGCTCTATATCAAGCAAGAGAGGTATAGCTCCAACTAAAAATCAAATTGAGTACACAATAATTTTTTCGATCTCATTGGTTAACATATTTCTCTCACAGGTCTCCTCCGGTAAATTAAGAGCAAATCATCTTATATATACTTAATATACTATTTCAATAATTCTAATAATTTTAGTATCTACGAATCAATTGGATTGGTTTGTGAAACAATTTTAGTTGAATGATTAAATGTGAAAATGAAGTTATAAGTTTATTTCACTATATGGCTAATTAGGAAGCTTTGTATATGAGATTTGATGTTTTCAACATGAATTGTTGATCTATTACATGGATGATAGTTATTTCTTATTTATTAAGTAGTTAAATATATTACATAAATATTGTGTAATGGGTAAGATCGCGTAAAGATACCGTAGATATCTTACCCAAATAAATTTGTGAGTTATTTGATTTTAACTAAATTATTAAATAAGTGAATAGAGTTTTAAATATTATTAGTTTCTTACCGCAGGGCAACAAAACTAGTAATAAATTAAACAAATATATTTATATAATCTTATCACTAAAATTAAAATCACTATAATATTTTGTGATGAAGAAAATCAGTATGAGGATAGAAAGGAAAGGAGGAAGATAGACTCGGTCCCCACCCAATCCTCATATGTTTGTTCTTTCTTTCTTTCTTTCTATCGTATTCTATTCTTTTACTGTTCATCAATCATTCGTCAACTCAACACACAGTTTTTCGAAGAGAACTATATATCAATCGCCGCTAGTCCTTACCTTGGGGAAGTTGGTGAAGTTCTTACTGAGGATGTAGTGGACGTTCATCGGATCCACGGTGATGAGGAAGTCGACGCCGGCGAACCACGGCCCTCTGAACATGAAAGTGCCTCCGCTCTGTTTCATAACGCGGGTGATGAAGTCGTGGAGGAGGTCGTGAGACACGTTCCACAGCAAGGACGGAAGCATGCCAACGACCGGCCAGTTTGGTATAATAATGGCCTTGTTGTTGTTTCGAACGGCGAACCAGACGCCCAGGCAAAGGAGGAGAGGGAGAAAGAGTACAAGTAGCAATAGCGTCGCCATTTCTCTGTGGGAAACTTATCTTTTCTCGGCCGTTTGGGAATGGAATGGACAAGAAGGAATGGGCTGTCTTATTATCATATATAAAAGTTTGGGTTTGTTAGGGGTTTTTGTAGACCAATAAATATGATCCAGATATTTGCTGGAGACGTGGACGATCCATCGGCCACAAAATCAATCTATATAATTCCATAGCCCCAGAGTGATCATCACCATCCATTTCCTCGGTGAGCTCATATCGTAGATTCGTCATGCAATGCTAGCTTTCAACGTTTTTCATGAATACCTGCACCGTAAATTTGGTTGGTCGTCGGACTGGACACGTCCTTATCAGTACATTACATGCATGTCGGAGGAGTGTATGCTCGTTTTAAATAAAAATAAATAAAATTGAGGCCAGTTGATCTCTTGTCACAGTTGGCAGCTGGCAGTGCATTGATGGAGTTAGCCCAATTAAGATTGATACGGGACACTATTAAAAAATTTGGAATTTTTTTATTAATCCTAATCCGGTATATGTTTTTAATTCCAACACTGAATTTAAATACCAATATGAGAAGTTTATAGACAACAAAACAAATAAAGTTAGTGAGATACATTGAAAGACACTTAAAAGTAAAGAAAACGATGTTTACAATTTTTTGAGATATGATAATACGGTATTGTATTTTGCGTCGAATATTAGTATCGAATGACGACGTGACTTCTTTTTACTAAAAGGTATATCAAAGGAGATATGATATTGTATTATGTGTAAATATATTTGAAATTTGAATTACAAAATAGATAAGATCTGCTAAAATTATAATTAGAGTTTAGTTATTTATAAAGTAGTAGATAAATATCTATCCTAAGATGAGTTCAAAGACTCCTATTTATCTAGAAAGTTGGAAACTAATATATAATATATATATATATATATATATATATATATATGTGGGGAGTTTTACGGTACCCAGGGTGAAATCCGGGGTACCGCATACATTGAGTATAAAACGCTATCTAGACTTTGAATTGATTGCACTTTCGGCTATGATATTATACGCTAACCCTTAAAGATCACAATCTAGGCCTTAATTCTCTAAATCTTATACCCCAAGATCAATTTAATTAGAAACAATAATCGACGGTTATGATTCTCCCAAATATAGGCAAAAAATGAATGAGTCATCTTAGGGTTAATAGTTTATAATTTAGATAATTAACTAGGACCTAGGATTCACTCATTAAGGGTTATGGTATAGTATCAGGTCCAAAAATCCTGTTAATTAGAGGTATAAATAAAGTTTTCATACTCATGGTATACGATACCCCGGATTTCACCAGGGGTACCGTAGAAAGCCACATATATATCATTGGTAGCTTATGTTAGCAAAGTGTTATTGTGCTACCTTTCTCTTCTGGTAGCCTGACTAAAGGACTTGGTCCCTCTCTCTGTACCTTTTTCTTCTCATGTAGTAAACTTTAATCATCTTTCACATGCCAAAGAAGAAGAAGAAAGGTACGGAAACGATTAAGTTGATGAGGCTCCTCCTGTGTACACATGAATGTGGTTGTCATTAATTTCGTGGTCCGTTGGGTGGTTATCATTAAAATGTGGAGCCACTGTGCCTTGAAAGCTGATGATGGAGATCGAGAAGACGATGTTGTATATATGACCGCTATATATAAATATCGTCCTATGCAAAGGTCTATTATATTCATACAAATCAATCAAACCAAAAATCATCAAATCAAATGGCCATCATACCACTACTTGCCATTTTGCTCCTAACTCTCCTCTCCTTCGCACTCCCATGGCGGCGTATTAGGAACACAAACTTCTCCTTAATCGACTGGCCGGTGCTGGGTGTGCTTCCGGGCCTCCTTTGGAACGCGTGGACCGATAATATCCATGGCGCAGCCGACAGAACCCTCAAGGAAACCGGCGGCACGTTCGTGTTTGATGCGGAACGGGATTTCACGCACCGGTGATCTCGAACGATTTAGCGAAAGAACTAGAAAACACGATAAAAGAGCTACTTTTCTCTACTAACTACTTATACTTTATTCATCGACTTAATAAAACGAAGAGCAAAGGTACATATTTATAGGGCTAATCCTACAAACCCCTTTCCCCTTAAGACAAGGAAACTCAAACCCAAAACAACAAGTAAACGAATACTTCCTAAACAAGATAGGTAATAATAATCCTAGACCCAAACTAATACGAATAACCCGAATAATAACCGAATATCCCAACAGATAATAATAATAAAACAATAATAATAATAATAATATCAATGGGCCCGGCCTAAGACGCCGTTCCCCATCAATCCTCCCCCCTTTTTACAACTTCGTCCCCGAAGTTCAGGCGCCATCTCAACCCGGATCGATGAAGAAGAAGCTTCCACGTAACTTGTGATGGACGATGGTGAGGTTTGGACGACGACACTCACGCTTGCGATACTTCCAATTCAACTTCAGCACCCAATCGATCCTTCCAGGGTTAGCAGCTTCATCCCTTTCTAAATTCTCTCCACCTGGGTCGAAACACCCATCCCATGCCATCACTCCTTCTGGATCTTTATGAGGTGGGTAGAATAATTGTCTTACGTGGATTGGTTCTCCATTAGAGCTCAACAATTGACCTGCCTCCTTCCACCCGTAACTCAAAACCCCTGTATGACTACCGTTCACGCTCTTTGATGTAATTCCTCCAATCCCTCGACCCATCCATGACATTGTCCCGCCGGCAGTTCTGCAGTTCATTGCCTTCATTCGACTGGAGTTCTCAAGGAAGAATGAACAAGAATGCTGCCGATCGATAACGGTGACCTTATCATCGGATTCGTCCTCCCTTGAACTAAGCTTCACGCCATAGAGAAGACCTCCCGTCAACCCACCCATTATCGGTCCAATGCATCCTGGTACCAGCCCATTACGCACCAGTTCACACGAGATTCCTTTTGGACTTGAACCTACATTAGCGACATACCCACCATTTGGACTCCACTCCCATTGTCCCTTCATCCCACGCGCACGACCTTGCGGGGACGAGGACTTCATCGTGGCGAAGTCGATGGCGGCGAAAACATCCACCATCTTCAGCGTATCATTGTCCAAGGAATCCGCGGTCGCACCGACATCGTTTGAGTGTGCGGCTTGGTTGGCATCGAACTCCACTGACTCGGCTAGGGCTCCCACCTGCGGCGATGGTAACTCGACAATGGGTTCCCATCGTTTCTGCCTCTTCTTCCTATGATAGAGACGCCTCCCCCCTTTTAGGCGGATGGCTATGACATCCTCAAGGTTTGCTTCGATGGCAACAACACCAAGACTTGTTGGCTGTTGGACAAGCAATCCCTCCAATTTGTGACATGAGAGGGCGGCCTCTCCCTTAATTCCGACGAGCTCGATCTTCGGCTGGTTGCTCTCGTGTCGAGTTGGTGTGGTCTCGAACTCGACTTCTGCCAATATTGGCGACGGCGACGTAGGTACGGTGGTGGTGGGAGTTACCAGCGACGTGGTAGTGAGGGCGGCGGATGCAGTAGCTCGGTCACCAATGGCGATGAGCCTTTGGCAGGAAGCCACGGCACTTTCCGCGAGTTTGATCATCCGATCGAGGTCGTCCCCGGAGAGCCATTCGGTGCTCATCGTGTCGCAACTACTCTCCTTTCGAAGATTCTCTTGGTCCTGTCGTATCGATCCGTTCCCGTCGACTGGTGAGCTTTCAACGTTCATCGGCAAGCACTCCTCTGGCGACGGGTCATCTGATGAGGACCTGACGTTGGACTGGTCGTGGTCTCCCCTCCGGAGCTCGGCGGCCTCGTGTGCAGCGACGTATTGATAATAATCAGCTCCCGCTTGATCGGAAACCTCTTGAATGACCGGAGTATAATCCAACAGCGGCAGCCGAGCTGAGGATTGGACAAGAAGCTCTGGATATTCCTGCCGTGTCGGGAACCCTTGGAATTGGTATTGACTACCGTTGTCGTACTGCAAATTCGTAGCCTCTGCAACTCTAACTCCGGCGACCGAGCTCTCAAGGTCTTGGCGATGATCTCGAGAGGAATAAGAATAAGGGTTCAGCCACGGCGGGTGATGTGAAGACGATGGATGTGACGACGGTAGCGGACGTAACGGAGACGGATAGCTAGGCCAGCCGACGACGCGACGAGGAAGGGTCTCCTCGTAACTCCGTGCCCAAGGCGTGTAACCTTCTCCTCCTGGATGTTGCGTGAAAATCGGCATAGCGAATTCAGCGCCTAACCAGGCTCTGATACCAATTGATGCGGAACGGGATTTCACGCACCGGTGATCTCGAACGATTTAGCGAAAGAACTAGAAAACACGATAAAAGAGCTACTTTTCTCTACTAACTACTTATACTTTATTCATCGACTTAATAAAACGAAGAGCAAAGGTACATATTTATAGGGCTAATCCTACAAACCCCTTTCCCCTTAAGACAAGGAAACCCAAACCCAAAACAACAAGTAAACGAATACTTCCTAAACAAGATAGGTAATAATAATCCTAGACCCAAACTAATACGAATAACCCGAATAATAACCGAATATCCCAACAGATAATAATAATAAAACAATAATAATAATAATAATATCAATGGGCCCGGCCTAAGACGCCGTTCCCCATCAGTGTTCAAAGGCCCGTGGTTCGCCAACATGGACTTCATCGCCTCCAGCGATCCGCTCAACGCCCACCACATCTTCAGCAAGAGCTACGCCAAGTACAGGAAAGGCGAAGACTTCAAGGCCATATTCGAGTTCCTCGGAGAAGGCATCTTCAACGTGGACGGCGAGTCGTGGAAGTTCCAGCGGCAGATGCTCCATTCCATCCTCAACAACGAGGAATTGCAGAACCACATGACCACAACCCTCAAGCTGAAGATGGAGGGCACCTTGTTCCCAGTTCTCGATGCGAGAGCCGGGGCCGAGGTGGACATGCAGGAGGTGGCAAAGATGTTCATGTTCGATAACATCTGCCTGTGGGTTTTGGGGTTTGATCCAGGTTAATCTAAGTATATATACTTGAGTCTATAATCTAAGTATATATATCGGGTCTTCGTTCAGATAATATTGATCCTCCATCATATCGCAGGTTACCTTTCTGTGGACGGACGTTCAGAAACATTCCCGTACGACAAAGCATTCGAAGAAATCTTTGAGGCAGTCATATACCGACATATAGTGCCCAGAGGTGTATGGGAGTTCCAGAAAAGGTTCGGGATTGGTTCGGAGAAGAAGATTAGTCATAGTACGAAGGTGTTGGATGAATTCATATACAATGCTATCAGGATCAAGAAACAAGAGATGCAAAAAGAGGAGCAGGGACAACAACTCGACATGCTAACACAATTGATGATAGCTGGTCAGAAAGGAGAAAGTTCAGACAAGTCCTTACGAGATATGGTGTTTACATTAATAGCAGCTGGAAAAGACACCCTATCTTCCACTCTCAGTTGGCTGCTCTGGTTGGTTGCGACCCACCCTGACGTTGAGAAAAAGATTCTCGAGGAGATCGAACGAGTAACAGCCATGGCTGGGCGGCAGGAAAGTGATAAAGGGACATACAGGTTTTTGATAAGCAAAGATGAGTTAAATGGGCTAGTGTACCTTCATGCGACAATCTGCGAGACGTTGCGGTTGTATCCACCAGTTCCATTCGAGCATAGATGCGCCGATGAAGCTGATGTGCTCCCTACTGGTCATAGAGTTAAGAAGGGCATGAGGATGTTGTTCTCCATATACTCCATGGGGAGGATGGAAGAGATATGGGGAAAAGATTGCATGGAGTTCAAACCTGAGAGATGGATTTCAGAAGAAGGGAACATAATCCATGTTCCGTCGCAGAAGTTTATGGCTTTTTTGACAGGACCAAAGACTTGTTTGGGGAAGGCGATGTCTTTCATGCAACTCAAGTTCATTGTTAGTGCCATTTTGTGGAACTACAAGCTTGATATGGTAGAGGGCCACATCGTGAAACCAACACCTTCTATTGTATTGTCGATGAAAGATGGCTTGAAGATGAGAGTCTACAAGAGAGATGTTTAGTTTCTTCCTACAATATTGTGGTCTTTGAACTAGCTACCACTACTTCTCTATCACCATTTATTTCAATCAGTTGAGCAGTTGTTAAATAATTCATAATAAATTTTGCTTTTTTGGTTTTCTTATCAAGAGCCACCTAAATTTTGTTAGTTGGAATAGCACCACGAGTCTGATCGTTTCGTTGTTTTAGTCTTTTGGTATCTCCCAAGCCATATAGCTAGTACTGATAACTGATAGGAAATCAATATCAAGTAATAAGTCACATACAGAAGAATGTGGATTGTTGCTATTTTGCTACTAGCTTTCTTCTCCCTCATATTCTTGTGGCGCTCGATAGCATTTTTAGCCAAAAACAAAAGCGCTTCCGCCGTCCAATGGCCGGTGGTGGGCATGCTTCCGGCCCCGGGAGTTAGGGGTGAGGTGGACATGCAAGACGTGGTGAGCAGGTTCATGTTTGACTATGTCTGCATGTGGGTCTTGGGATTCGATCCAGGTAATTAAATAAAGTATTAGGATTTGGAACATGATTAAGTTTAAGGAGTTAATCAGCTTGACTAAAAATTGCTTTGTGGATTAATTTGGATTCATTGAGATTCCAAGCCCCAATGAAGGAAAATCTTCAACCTTAGCGCGCGACCGTTTGGCAAGTTTAGGTTGCGACTGTGTCCTTTAAAAAGATGCGGTGGCTTTAAACCTTCAATAAAATTTTCAATCCTTTTGAAGTATTAGAGTCGGCTCACAATCAATTTATACCTCTTTCAGGTTACCTTTGTGTTGACAGACATTTAGATACCTTCTCATGTGGCAAAGCATATGACGACATTGAGGAGGCCAACGTATACCGACATATTGTTCCAAAAGGTGTATGGAAAATTCAGAGAATATATATTTGGGATCGGATCGGAGAAGAAATTTAGTACAAGTATTAAGGTCTTGGATAAGTTCTTATACGACGTCGTGAAAATCAAGAAACAAGAGTTTCACAAAGAAGATAAACGCCTACAACTTGAATTGCTAACACAATGGATGGTAGCAGATGAAAGAGGAGAAAGTTCAGATAAATTTCTACGGGACTTTGGAGTGACATTAATAGCGGCAGGGAAAGACTCTGTGTCTTCGGTTCTAACTTGGTTTATCTGGTTGGTTGCAATCCACCCTCAGTTTGAGAAAAAGATTATCGATGAGATTGAAAGAGTAGTGGTAATGGCTAAACGACGACCAAATCCTAGAGAAGGACGATTGTTAGGAGTTTTCATGATCGATAAAGATTAGATGAATAGATTTGTATATCTCCATGCAATCATCTGCGAAACATTGAGATTGTACCCACCAGCACCATTCGAGCTAAGATGTGCCATTGAAGATGATATGCTCCCTAGCGGCCATCTCATTCACAAGGGTACTAGGATTTTGTTCTCCATATACTCCATGGGGAGGATGGAAGAGATATGGGGGAAAGATTGCATGGAATTCAAGCCTGAGAGATGTATTTCGGAGCAAGGGAGCTTAATCCACATCCCCTCATACAAGTTCATTAATTTTTTGGCAGGGCCAAGGTATTGTTTGGGGAAGTCGTTATCTTTCATGCATCTCAAGTTCATTGTTAGTACTCTTCTATGGAACTACAAGTTTGATATGACAGAGGATCAAATCGTCAAGCCACTTCCTTCTACTATGTTGACAATGGAAAATGGTTGGAAGATGAGAGTTTCCAAGAGAGATGTTTAGTTAGTTTCTTCTTAATAATTGTGGTTTGTAATAAATATTGGTACGAGTTGGATTGCTTTTAAACTAAAGTTATTATTATTGCCTTACTCAATAAATATATTGTCTGGTACCACTTGAATATGACATCTTTCTAGACAATATCACCGAAATTCTCTTGTCTGTTGTTTCTCTTTTCCCCGATGCAGTAAACACAGTTTTAATTTCTCCAATAATATCACTAGAACATAATTCTACTTTGCATCGGACGAGGACGATCGTAAATGTCTAAAAGTTGTTGCACATATTTGTGATGATAAACATATTTAGTCGCAAATTCGACATATTCAGCGGCCAAAAGTTAGACAATTGGTCACAAAAGACAATTTGTTTTCGGTCTCCTCTCATTATTAATGCAAAGTATCCATTTATTCCTTTTATAGTTCATTCAGTGGAATAAAATAATTATTTACTTTTTCAGCTTTCAAAATAGAATACAGAGTATGTGATGGTTTTTTTTATAGAAATGCCGCGTTATGAATCACTTAAAGTTTCATTTACTTCTTTAATTATCATCATAAGATGGCAATAGTGACGAAACTATGTGAATATAGGAACTAAAATCCTCCTGAATACTTAATCCAACGTCAAAAAAATTAACTTACTAAACATAAAGAAAATAAAACTCGGCATTGATGATATTGTTGGGATCAATTGGTATTTGAATTTTTTTTCATGTATTGATCGAGATGTGAACATGGACTGAAGCTCCTTATGATACGGACTTGTATCTCTATTAGTGTATCTGCTTGTGAACAATATTATCATTGCTCTATAATTGAGAAAGTTATATTTTTTTGTTGCCTTTTGTATTGAGAATTCTTGTTTTAGACATTTCAAATCTTTAAAATCTACGGGTATCAAATCTCTATTGATTCGTAATTTTATTTTCCTTTTATTATATCTCTTCGTTTTATTTATTTATCGCATTAAATATATTTATCAACAAAGTTCTCAATGTTTCTCGAATCTCTCTAATTTTTTTAATCAAGGATAAACATGTTATTTAATATAAAATTATAATTTTTATTTTCATTGAAGCTTAACAATCACAGTTACCAAACAATAAACATTTTAAAATCTATTTCAACAAGACAATCTATCAATTTAAGCTCATATTCTCCAAATGACCCCTAAGTGATTTGTTCGTTAACATAGCAACGGAGTCTTTGACCGAGAAGCCTTGGTTTCGTATCGTTATGACAACCCTCAGTATAAACAATGGTTTAGCACAAGCAATGATATGACCAATCTGTGCAAACTAAAAGTCTAATGATTTAGCATCAAAAAATAATATGTTCAAACCTGTACAAACTCAAAAAAAATCAAACTGTGCAAACTAAAAGTCTAATGATTTAGCATCAAAAAATAATATGTTCAAACCTGTACAAACTCAAAAAAAATCAAATGTAGCCTTTAGCTTGAGAGACCGTGTAAGAGATAACAAAAATTTTAAACAAACATTTCCTCAACAACTCAAATAATTAAGACTAATTAAGTGGTGGTATGTGGTTGATGGATCTAGTAACATGAATTCTCGCTAGGCCATCAATAATAATGAACATACCTACCGATCGAGACCAACAAATATGATGTGATGAGTACTTGTTGGATTGGGCGAGCTGGAGAACTATAGACCACAGAATCTATCTATAGAATACAACTACATGATTCATATGGATATGGCCCGGTGAATTGATCATCACCGTCCATTCCGTCGGTTGCCTCTGGTGGTGAGATCGTAGAGTCACCATGCAATGCTAGCTTTCACCTTTAAGCCATTCTACTCTCTTCTAAACTATTAATGGTTGGAACTACAAGCTAAGTTAAACTTGTACCATAACTAACAAGTACAAATTTTGAGTTTCATTATACAGACATTTATACATTATTTAATTACCAAATGTAAAGCCAGGACAGAAAATTTTGGTCGCTATTTATTTATAAATAACTTCCGTGAGCCAATGTGCAATTTATTTAAATAGCTGGGTAATTATTAATTAATTAATTAATTAAAGACGCAAGCAAACTACACTGTTCCTCACGAAAAAAAAGGGCAAGTGAAATTTATCCCCACCCGCCACCAAGTACTGTTCACAGAGGGCCTTATTCTCTAGACCCAATACCACAATACTTTTTTTTATAGTCAGCTATATATCTACACCCAATAATACGAGTTCTTTTTCGTAGTCAGCTATATAGATATACTTTTTTTTTAATAATCTTCTATAGCCATTACCAACACTGTAAACTATATATACAGTGTTGTCTTCGGTGCACTCACTTTTTTGGATACGTACAATATACTCGCCTTATAAGTGTCATTATGAGCAATAACATGAGTCCTTTTTTATAGTCAGCTGTATAGATATATTTTTTTTAATAATCCTCTATAGCCATTACCAATAGTAAACTATATATACCGTGTTGTTTTCGGTGCACTCACTTTTTTGGATGCGTACAATTCACTCGCCTTATAAGTGTCATTATGAGCAGACAATTCACGTAAAAATGATACCGATCGTCACTTATGATATGATGAACAAGAAAATATATGAATATATATTATTCCATATTTATTTTGATTTGAATGATTTAGGGTTTAGGGTTTGTAGATTTATAAGGTTAGTTAACTATTACATAACCGTTTCATCAATTGTGATATTTTTTACAACTTAATTTTATTATTAGACTATTTATTAAGAAAAAGGTATTTTCCATTGTTCTATAACATTTACATAAATGAAAAATTCATTACACAAATCTTATGTAGGGATAAATATTTTTTATGTATCAATTACACAAACATATAATGTATTTTTTGTAATATAAGTTTGAACTAAAATTTCTTTATTATTATCTAAATTGTTATCCATCTCATCAATTTGAATTATAAAAGATTCTGTAAGGTTAGTTATTTTTAATGTAACATTTTAATCAATTATGATACTTTTTATAATTTGAATTTGTTATTATATATTGGGAAAATAAACGTATTACATATGTCTTCTGTGGTTATTAAGAGTAAAGTTTATAAAGAGATAGTTATTCCTTTCAATATATATATATTTAACGCAAAACTTATAGACGTATCCCTACTCCCAAGTATTTTGTGAATTGTTTGATTTCAACTATACTTAAAGTCTTACCGCTGTGAAGCGCGGGTCAAAAAACTAGTAACTATATATAAGTAGTACTTTGAAGTGAGAAAGGGAGGACCATTTCGATGGAGTATGAAGACTTGCAACCAACTTATTCGTATAGACGAAGAAAGGTAGAGAGAATAGAGACACCATTATATAAGTTAGGTAGTCTCGTGGCGAAGGCAACACCACACGTACGTAGCTAGGTGAAGATTATAACATCACAACGTAATTACTCACAAGTTTGTACTGAGTTAGTTAGAGTCATGATGGATAGCTTTCACCTCTTCAATAGCTTCATAAATTTGGCTGGTTAATTGGATGCCTGTGTGTGCTTAATGGTTGGTACACGTATGATTGCAACACAAGGTTTGAATTTGCGAGAAACCTTCCACTGCAAATTCGATCGTTTGGATGGGTTTCTAGACTCATGCATTGCTTTCAAGCATTGCTGTATCATAAATATTTTTGTTGGTTGGCCGTGGAGGACACATACACACTTGTCAATATTGATACATGCACGTCACAGTACGTAGTACTGTACTTTATATATAGTGATATACATCATTGTTGTTATATATAAATAAATATCATGCCATGCAAATTGCAAAGGGCTATTATATTCAGATAATCAATTAAACCAAAACTCATCAAATCAAATGGCCATCATACCACTACTTGCCATTTTGCTACTAATTCTCCTCTCCTTCACATTCCTCCTATGGCGGCCTTCCATAACTAGTATTATTAGGAACAAAAACTTCTCCATGCTCGAATGGCCGCTGCTAGGCATGCTTCCCGGCCTCCTTTGGAACGTGTGGGCCGACGATCTCCATGGCTGCATCACTAGAACCCTCAAAGAAAACGGCGGCACGATCGTGTTCAAAGGCCCGTGGTTCGCCGACATGGACTTCATCGTCACCTGCGATCCCATCAACGCCCACCACATCTTCAGCAAGAGCTACGCCAAGTACGGGAAAAACGAAGATTTCAGAGCCATGTTCGAGGTCCTGGGAGACGGCATCTTCAACGTGGACGGCGAGTCGTGGAAGTTCCAGCGCCAGATGCTCCATTCCATCCTCAACAACGAGGAACTACAGAACCACATGACGACAACCCTCAAGCTGAAGATGGAGGGCACCTTGTTCCCAGTTCTCGATGCGAGAGTCGGAGCTGAGGTGGACATGCAGGACGTGGCAAAGATGTTCATGTTCGACAACATTTGCCTCTGGGTTTTAGGGTTTGATCCAGGTTAAACATTTAGTATGATTTTGTACTCGAGTTTATATATAGTGCAAGTAATTGTGTCTTCGCTCAAATTATCAATCCTCGATCTATCGCAGGTTACCTGTGTGTGGATGGGCGTTCAAAAACTTTCTCCTGTGGGAAAGCATTCGAGGAAATCGAGGAGGGGATCATATACCGACATATAGTGCCCAAAGGTGTCTGGGAGTTCCAGAAAAGGTTTGAGATTGGTTCGGAGAAGAAGATAAGTCTAAGTACGAAGGTGTTGGATGAGTTCTTATACAATGCCGTCAAGATCAAGAAACAAGAGATGGTGCACAAAGAGGAGCAAAGACAACATCACGACATCCTAACACAATGGTTGTTGGCTGACCATCAGAGTACAGACAAGTTTCTAAGAGACATCGCGTTTACACTAATTTCAGCTGGGAGGGACACCCTATCTTCCACTCTGTCTTTGTTGCTCTGGTTGGTCGCGACCCACCCTGACGTTGAGAGAAAGATTCTTGGGGAGATCGAACGAGTAATGATAGTCATGACTAATAGAGGGACTTCGAGGTTTCTGATCAGCAAGGATGATTTAAATGAGTTAGTGTACCTTCATGCCGCCATTTACGAGACATTGAGGTTGTACCCACCATTGCCATTCGAGCACCGATGCGCCACTGAAGCTGACGTGCTCCCTAGCGGCCACAGAGTTCATAAGGGAATGAGGATGTTGTTCTCCATGTACTCCATGGGGAGGATGGAAGAGACATGGGGGAAAGATTGCACGGATTTCAAGCCAGAAAGATGGATTTCAGATGAAGGAAACATAATTCATGTTCCGTCGCAAAAGTTCATGACTTTTTTGACAGGACCTAGGACTTGTTTGGGGAAGGCGATGTCTTTCATGCTACTTAAGTTCATGGTTAGTTCAATTCTTTGGAACTACAAATTTGAAATGGTAGAGGGTCACGTCGTGAAGCCAACACCATCCATGGTACTGTCAATGAAAGATGGCTTGAAGATGAGAGTTTCCAAGAGAAATGTATAGTTTCTTGTGAACAAGAACATGATCTAGTGGTACTACCAATTGAACCTGAATGTCTCGGATTCAAATCTCTCTAGTAGCAGATAATAATGAAAATAAATCTATATCACCCTTATCTAAAAAAAAAGAGATGTCAATTTTCTTTTTAATTAATATTTATGGTCTTTATTAAATAGAAATGAGTACGTATGGGTTGTGAGCTGCATGGTTGTTACTAGTGTCGTATTAAATAAAATGTGGGCTCCCATCTGTCTCTTCCTCTCTTGCTTCGTTCCAAGGAACAAAGTATAACAACTAATAACCGATGTTTTTGGAAATTTTTAGCATAAAGTAAAATAATAATAATAATAATAATAATAATATATAAAAGCCTAGGTTGTGAGTTACTATTCATTAGTGACTCTCACACTCCTCCAAGTGCAAGTGGAGAAGTTCCAAGTTGCTTCTTTTACCCCACTCTTCATTCTATAACCTTTGTGTTTAGCTATTGCTCGCTAGGTTTACATCTATTGAACCAAAACACAAGGGTATCCTAACTTGAACCCAAGGAGCAACCACGAGTTTTGTATCGGGACAGAGTTTCATCATATTTAGTATTTTTTCCTTTCTCTTTTTCCTTTTGTTGAGCATCATCACAATTGAACCCAAATATTAATTAATATATAAAATTCTAGGTTGTGAGTTACCACAAGTTTTGTATCGGGACTGAGTTTCATCCTCTTTAGTATTTTTTTCTTTATCCTAATCCTTTTTGTTGACCATGATCACAATTGAATCCAAATCCATGGGTATCCAACCTAATTCAATTCGGTCAAAGCAATCGACTTGAAACGGACTTTAGTATTTATGAATTTCTCTTTTTTCTTTTGGTTGGTAAGAGAATTGAACCCGAATCTAAGTTATTAACAAGTGTTGTATTGTGAGCGAGTTTTATCCGCTTTTATTGTGATCCGGCATGTTTGGGATATCTTTGATATAGTGTCTTTTGGAGTATTTTGTAGCTTTTTACAGTGATATAACGTTGAACTGGCTAGTGGTGCTTTGTTTTTGCCCTGCGTAGAGCCTATGAGGTCCGCCTCGTTGTAATTAGTTCTTTAATTTCTACGTTATTAAAGCAACTGATTCAACGAAAAAAAGAGAATGACAATTGAACTTTGAACCATTGTTGACGAGTTTGATATCGAGAGCGAGTTTTATCCGCTTTTGTAATTGACAGGTTAGGTAAATTGTGAATTTGTTAAAACTGGGTCGACCCTGTCAGAGCGAGCTGAACGCAGTGTTGAGAGTTTAGGGTCGTGAGTGAGTTTTATCCACTTTAGTTTTTTTTTATCTTTTTCCTTTTGGTTGAGAATGACAATTGAGTTCAAATGCATAAGTATCCATCCTAATTCGACCTGACCAAAGCGACTTGAACCCGGTGTTTACAAGTTTCCGGCGAGAGCGAGTTTTATCTGTTCTTGTAATTGGTGGGTTGTGTCAGGTGTGAATTTGCTCAAAACTAGGTTCAACCAGGTCAAAGCGAGTTGAACCTTGTTGACGAATTTTGAGACGGTAGCGAGATTTACCTTTAGTGTTTTTCATTTCGGCTTTTCCTTTTGTTTGAGAAAGACAATTGTACCCAAATCCATGGGCATCTAACCTAATTTGACCCGATCAGTGTGAGTTGAATCTCCTCAAACCTGCAACTAGTTCAAAAATTTCATAAAGGAGAACCACGATTACATCAAACCCAAAAAAAAGGCAAAAGAGTACTACTACGTTTGGCCTGAATTTTAGAAGTTTTATGTTTCAAGATGTGAAAGCAAGCCAAACACCTCTAAAGTTTTGCTTTTTAAAAAGCTGAAGTTTTTCATAATTTAAAAGCAGAAACTCCGATTTGACAATACAAAATTGTGCTTATCATATATTATTCTTTTGAGGTTGTACCCACCCTTGCCATTGGAGCACCAATGCGCCACTGAAGCTGTCATGCTCCCTAGCGGCCATATAGTTCATAAGGGAATGAGGATGTTGTTCTCTATATGCTCCATGGGAAGGATGGAAGAGATATGGGGGAAAGATTGTATGGAGTTCAAGCCCCAGAGATGGATTTCAGAAGAAGGGAACATAATCCATGTTCCATCGCAAAACTTTATGGCAATTTTTACAGGACCGAGGACGTGTTTGGGCAAAGCGCGGTCTTTCATGCATCTCAAGTTCATGGTTAGTTCCATTCTATGGAACTATAGATTTGATATGATAGAGGTTCACATCGTAAAGCCAGCACGATCCATGGTAATGTGGATGAAAGATGGCTTGAAGATGAGAATTTCCAAAAGATTTGTCTAGTTTCATCCCAAGCAATATTTGTGGTCTTTAATAAATAAAAATGGATACTTATTAACTACGTATGGGTCGTGGGCTACATGTTTGTTATTCGTGGCGTTTTCAATAAATAAAATGAAGGCCTCCATCTCTTTCTCTACCTATGGATCGTGGGCTACATGTTTGTTACTCGTGTCATTTTCAATAAATAAAATCAAGGCCTCCATCTCTTCTCTGTCTCTCTTGCTTCATTCCTAGGAACAAGTCTAATAACCGATACTTTTGGAATTGTGTAACCCAAGGTAAAATTGAACTTCACTCGGGCCCAAGAAAAAAAAAAAAGAATGGTTCATCCCATTATAAATTAGAGTCCATGCCAATGTGTAAGCCCACTCTCTAAATAAAAGGCTCACTACCTTTAAGAAAGAAAGAACGGGGGAGTCAGTAATCTGAATGAGGGGTACTGACTTGTATCGTGATAATTGAGTGAGGGGCGCTAAACTTTTAAGACGTGTTTTTACTACATTGGTTATGACAGTGTTAGATGGATACTCATGAAAGTGATGGATGGTATACATTAATACATGTGGTCAGAATTTAGTGGTTTAGTTGTATTAAAAAAGCCTTAAGTGGCAAACTTAAATCTATTTGATGATTTCAATAACCTACCTTACGACTCCTCCAAGAACCAAAAGAGATCTACCCACTCAATGCACTAAAGGCATATCTATCAATTAATTGGGTGGATGGCTGGTCAATTGCTTTCACATTCTAATATTGCAATTCTTTCTGTTTCCTATGTCTTTTGCATAAGCAAATCTGAATTGCATATTTGAGTCAAATTAACAATTCAGACATTTGAACCTTTTCTTTCATTCGTAATCTTATCATCGCCATTATAAAAAAAAACAATTCTGACATTGAAATTAAATCGTCCTCATCAATCCGAACTTGTTTCCTAAATTGTTCTTTGCGCGACCGTGGAAAATGGTCACAGAAACTCACAATATTATGAGCAAGACAAATAGGCTATCTAATGGAAATGAAAGTATAAAAATACCGATTTAACCATTTTGTATAAGCATCTCCTATACGAATTATCATACAAAAGTATGGATTTGGTCACCGAAAAAGCAGAATATGTGCAACACAAAGAGGCTTAATTTTAACATGAGTGAAAATATTGATAACAATTTTGGGCTAATAATTACGAAGAAAAAATGGTTGATAATAATTTTTTCAAGTGCGCGGCTAATATTGGCGTCAACAATATGGTCGCTATAGATATGGTCACAATAGCTGGTGACCAAACTAGGACCGAGAGCAAGAAAAGGTTACGTGGCTAATACTAACTACGGTAAAAAATTTATATGCGTTTGTTTTTCCATAGCCACGCAATTCTTAATGCAGACACAAAATTAGTATCTAGAAATTGGTTTGCTTTGGTTGGCCGTGATCCAAGTTGGATCGTTCCGATTTTCACTGAATCGCCACAAAGATCGCTGGAAATTGCAATCACCCACACCAAACTCTAATAATCTGACAAATTTTAGTGTCAGTATGATAGTGTGGGTACGTTTTAGTAACTAGTGTATTTTGGAAAAAATCACAGGAGAGACAACAGTCTCCAATTTGTTTTTCCTTCTCATTGCTTGACATGGCCAGAGGCCTTACATTAAGATATATATAGCTTTCTTGAAAGGATCAATTAGGGGATATCACAAGCTATTTCCGCACAAGCTACAATAATACAAGCCACCTTACAATAGTAGGAAGGAATCCTTATGGGGCTTGAATTTCGTTGGGCTCAACGATCAACTAACCACGTAAATTACAGTATCTTTTATGTTATCGTAAATAGTTTTGGTTTATTTTTTAACGTGAGAGATTGATAAATATTGCAGATGATCATGAAAAGAAGAAAGAAAGAAAATCTTCATTTTCCTACTGAATCCATATTATAATGCTGCTTCATAATTATTGTAGATGCAATCTCTCCAACATAAAGTCTTCATCAAGATCCCATCCTAAATAGAAACCCCAACATCAAACAAGTAAATCAACTACAACAAGAAGAAACACTCAAATTAAACTAAACTCCTTTTGGAAACCCTCATCTTCAACCCATCTTTCATAAGCAATATCATAGTAGGTGTCGGCTTCACGACATGACCCTCCACCATATCGAACTTGTAGTTCCAGAGAACGGCACTGGCCATGGACTTGAGCTGCAAGAAAGCAATAGCCTTCCCAATACAAGTCCTTGGCCCTGCTAAAAAGGCGAGAAGTTTGTACGACGGAACATGGATTATGTTCCCTTTTTCCGAAATCCACCTCTCCGGCTTGAACTCCGTACAATCTTCACCCCATATCTCTTCCATCCTACCCATCGAGTATATGGAGAACAATATCTTCGTGCCTTTAGGCACACCATGGCCACTAGGTAGCACATCCGCTTCCACAACGCATTTGTGCTCGAATGGCGCGGGTGGGTACAACCTCAAGGTCTCCCAAATCGCGGCATGAAGATACACCATTTTGTTCAACTCGTCCTTGGTAAAAAACAATCTATCTTGATCATCATCATCATCCCGCCGCACGTCCATGACTAGCTTGATCTCGTGTAAAATTCTTCCCTCGACATTCGGGTGGGTCACGACCAGCCAAAGAAACCAAGTTAGGGCAGAGGAGATTAAGTCTCTCCCAGCTCCTATCAAGCTGAACACAGTGTCCCTCACAAACTTGTCTGACTTGTCTTGTCCCGTTACCAAAAGTCGTGTCAACACATCGTTGGCATTGTTGTCGTCGTTAATTCCTCCTAGTTTCACCAACTCTTGCTTCCTCGTCTCTATCCTTGCATATATGAAGTCATCGAGGATCTGGCGACTTCTGCTTGCCTTCTTCTCCACTCCGACATCAAGCCTCTTTTGGATTCTCCACAGGAATTTGGGGACAATGTGGCGGTACACGACAGCCTCCTTCAGATCATCAAATGCTTTGCCACACAACAATGTAGGAGTAGTAGTGGAAAGTAGTAGTCCAGCAGGCCGCAGGTAGCCAGGATCGAACCCCAATACCAACAGGCAGATGTTGTCGAACATGAACCTTTTGAGCACATCCTGGATGTCAACAACCTCGGATGATGACGCACAATCATCGAGGATGCGGAACAAGGTGTGCTCCAACTTGACCGCCATGACTTTCATGACGTGATCTTCGAACTCCTTGGTGTTGATCAGGGAGTGGACGAGCTGCCTCTTGAGCTTCCACGACTCGCCGTCAGAGTTGATGATGCCGTCACCATAGGCGTCCATGATTGCCTTGAAATCGCGGCCTTTCTCGTAGTTGGTGAAGTTTCTGCTGAGGACGTGGTGGGCGTTCATGGGGTCGCTGGTGATGATCATGTCCCCGTTGAGGAACATGGGGCCGCTGAGCAACAAAGTCCCGTTGTTCAATTTCAGGAGTCGAGTGGTGAAGTCGTGGAGACTGGATGCCTGCCAAAGCGCGATTGGAATGTCCCCAAAAAGGGTCCGCATTAAGCCGATGATGCAAAGGAAGGCTGATGAGAGTAGTATTACAGAAAGTTGCAGGAGCTCTGCAGTTGACATGATTAATTAATGTCTCTATGCAAATGCAATGAATTAAGGAACCTTAGCTTCTTTTTTATTTTTTGGCTTCCTTTCCAATCTCTTGGACTTGGTTGTATTCATAAATACGTACGTACACCAAGTTATTATAGCTATCAACGTAACTAAGTTGGTGGATAATCTATAGGAGCTTTCACATAACGATACTAATTCGGCTGCTCTTTCCACTTTTGTGTCGTTGCAATGAACATTACTCTGAAATGCTCATTTAAGTAAAGTTGTTAATTAGCTGTGACGCATGAAATTGAGTAGCCAATTTTACTTGTGTCATTGATAATTAAATAGCGAATATATTCTGTCATTGATAATTAAATAGGATGGGTACTTGTGTGAGCTATACGGTTGTTATTTGTGTCATTTCAATAAATAAAATATCATGTATGAGTGCAAATGGAACGAACGAGTAAACTATTGCAACCACTTTATATACCCCCTTCCTGGGAAAGCATATTATATATATAGTTCTCAAAGGGAATGGCGAGTGTGCTACGGGGTTTAACAATAGCTCCAACTAATATGAACATTTCGTCTGAATGACTTTTTAATTTGAATAAATTGACCACAATTAATGAGGGATGAGTATTGATGTGTTGCTATTGAAGACTACTAATTTGATAAAGTAGCTCGTTACATTTTTCTGTCATTGGCGTAAAAGAAATTGTGAAATGCACATTCGAGAGAGTATACCGCTCCTCATAGTTTCAACTTAACTCTACCACTAACTGAAGTCGTTAACCTCATAAAATTTACAGTACATATTGCTTGAAAGGCGTAGAAAACAAAGTTGTCATTGAGTTAGCCCATCAATTAAGTGTTTCGAAATGCATGGGGGAGTCTACTCCAGGTCTAGTCTAATGCATGATCATAATTCATATGTAAAAGACGTAGAAAAGTCGATGTGGATTATGGATTTTGAGGTTCCATTTGGATGGAGAAATCGATTTGCATGGAGCGACCACGAGGTTCCATTTGGTAGAAAATAGAAATCCTACGTTTTCAAAAATCACATTGAATGCAATTCGGTGGTTGATCTGTCGCCTTACCACACTACTAAATAATTACTATTTCAAACATAATCAATTTATTGAGAAACACATTATTCTACCCTTTATTTTCTCCAAAACCAAGTTGGCAACATCATATCTGGATTCTGAAACATGGTTACATTAGTAGGAGAGCATAATATAATTCATATTAATAAAAACATTGCATTTTATGATTTATCTTCTCTTGGAAACTCTCATCTTCAAGCCATGCTTCATCGACGTAACCACCGAAAGTGCTGGCTTCACGAGATGGCCCTCAACCACCTCAAGCTTGTAGTTCCACAGGATAGCACTAGCCAGCGACTTGAGCTGAAGGAAGGACATTGCCCTCCCCAAACAAGTCCTCGGTCCAGTCATGAACGTCATGAACTTGTGGGATGGCACGGACAGTATGGTTCCAGTTCCACGATCGATCCACCTCTCCGGTTTGAACTCCGCACAATCCTCGCCCCATATCTGTGGCATCCTGGCCATGGAGCATATGGAGAATATCATCCTCGCTCCCTTTCGAACCCGATGACCGCTAGGTAACAGATCCTCTCCCATGGCGCATCTGTGCTGGAATGGCACTGGTGGGTACAACCTCAACGTCTCGCAGACTGCTCCATGGAGGTACAACATTTTGTTTGTGGTCAACTCACCCTTGCTCCAAAAGGCCGCTTTTCCATTCACCGCCACAAATTGTTCGATTTCATCCAGAATCGCTCTCTCGACGTGAGGGTGGGTGGCGACCAACCAGAGCAACCAGACGAGAGCAGAAGATATGGTTTCCTTTCCGGCTAGTATCAGTGTGAGTGCAGTGTCTCTCAGGAACTTGTCTGATTGTTTCTCTACTACTGCTTCTTCTCCTTCTCCTTCTTCTTCAACCATCAAGCATTGAGTCAATAGATCGAATCTCGGTCGTGGTTGATGATCTTTTCCTTTGCTCTTGTCGTTGTTTGCTAGGGCTAGTTCTTGCTTCCTGGTCTTGACGCACCGGTACAGGAACCGATCCATGGCTCTCCAGCTTCTTCTCATCCTCTTCTCCGTCCCTACTTGAAACCAATTTTGTAACCTCAACATCCACACGGGCACAATGTGACGGAAGGCCACCGCCTCCGTGATCTCGTCGCATGCTTTCACTGCCCACGACGCCGACGAGCTCATTTCCTCTGGATCAAACCCTAACACCAACAAACAAATGGCGTCGAACATGAACCTCTTCACCACGTCCTGCACGTCAACAACCTCGCTTCGTCCCTGCAGCTTGGACGACGAAGCAGCGTCGTCCAGGACAGGGAACAAGGCCGTCTCGGTCTTGTCACGCAGCGTCTCCATCATGTGGCGCTCGAACTCCTCGTTGTTGCTGCCGATGAGGGATTGAAGGAGCTGCCTCTGGTACTTCCAAAGCTCCCCGTCGACGTTGAAGATGCCGTCCCCGAGGACCTCGAACATGTAGTTGAAGTCCTGGCCTCGCTCGTAGTTGCGGAAGTTGCTGCTGAAGATGTGGCGGGCGTTCCTGTGGTCGCACGTGGTGACGAAGTCGAAGTTTAAGAATTTGGGGCCCTTGAACACGTAGGTCCCGCCGTGCTTCTTCATGACTTCGTTGCACAGGTTTTGGAGGTCGTCGGAGGCTTTCCAGAGTAGGACGGCGAGGTCCCTCGCCACTTCTCGCCACAGTCGGTACACGATGGCAAGGCAGAGGACGGCCGAGGAGGCTACTATCATCGTCGTCGGCATTGTTGACATTAATTGCTTCTCTCTATGGTGATTTCGTGGTTATGGAGGAATCTAATTATATATATATGTTGTTTCCACAGATAACAACGTTTCCATGCAATCCACGTAAGGTGTATGCCATGTAGAATAAGAATTAATCTGGTGGCTAATCTCTATCGCCTTTACACGTTACTAAATGTGAAACGTTGGACATTTCAGTGGAAGTTGGACATATGAAATCGACTAGCCATCTTGCACATGGAGATCGCTCATAAGTCATAACGAATATATTCTGTTCCATTATGGGGCGGTTGTTTGATGAGCTAATCACTATGATGATGTACCAATTTATAGAGGGAAGACACTGATCGAGGTGCCCTAAAGTAAAAAATAATGATGGATTCTTGGAACTAAATTAATTAGGCGCCTAAATGAGGACCGGTCAATTTCATAACCCAAATCTTCAATTCCTCAAGGCATATATAGTTATCAATTTTGTGGTGAACCTACCTATTGCTTTCACATCCTACTATCTTAGCAACTAGTTTCATTCATCCTACTAACATGACAACTAGTTTCATTTTTTTCGTCCTTAGACATTAATGATAAAACACATATATGAAATTTAAATTTGAGTCAAGATGTAAAATGTGGTCTTGTAAATCATCATTGATAGAAGTTGGTGAGATATATGATCAAACAGAACTCATTTGTCGTAAAAGATGATGTAAAACGAGTATATTTTGGTGGGGGGAAAAAATTGATGAATTGACGAAATTGCGCGAAAACATTGATTACGTGCATGAATATGAGCTGATTAGTATGAGCCATCGGTAAATTTAAGAGAAAAGTAAGATATGTATGTAAATATTTTTGTGCCAGAAGATATCATCTACTCGGATTCTTTTGATCACATCAAATTTAAGAGTACAAATTAAATTTGGTTACTAATTTCAGGGCAAAGCAAACGAACGTGTTAATTGCAAGTTTGCAACCACTTCACAAACTCCTTATGATGACCATAATTTGGGCCTACCCAAGCTAGTTCTATGTATATTAGGTGGACTTGTGTGAACTCGTCGTATACATTTCTGAAAGCAATAGATTAGCGAGCAGCTAAAACAATTAGTTAGATATAATATGGCGACCATGTATAAAAGAAGTAGGAGATAAGACCATGTTTGCATTGATATGTATAGAAACCAACTTTTTGGTGGCTAAATATAATGTCATACATTCTGTCTTTTCTTTGTTCCTTCCCTCTTATTTGGGTAAGCCTTTTAGATTGTGAAACAGGTAAGGCTTTATTTTTCAGTTTGATGCAGTTTCACTATTATCAAAAAGATATCGTCGTCACAGACTATGTATCATTTTTTTTTTATGAATTGACTATGTATGTTTTGAAATAAAAAAATATGAAAAAATTATATACTTAGGTCATTTGAACAAAAAATTGAGATACACCATATCAACCGTTGTTATGACTTGAAAACAATTTTTTTTTTTTACTGAAAATGATAACCACTGTACCAAATTGGGAACCAATTCTTGATATGTGTATGTGGGACAGTGGGAGAAATAGAAAATGATTTTCACACTTTTCGAGCACATAAAAGTTTATTTACTAAGCGATGCCATATTTATAAAACAGATAACAAGAAAGAAAACTTCACCACACGCGGAAACCTATAAAGAAACAGTAACAAATTAATGAAACAACAACTTTTACTAGCACACAACAACTCAACAATATTATTGTCAATTATTTCTCTTAATGACTCTTGCCTTCAGCCCATCTTTCATAAACATGACCATCCCGACCGTTGGCTTAACAGAGGGACCATTATCTATGAGGTCAAACTTGTAGTTCCAAAGGAGGGCACTAGCCAGGTACTTGACTTGAGTGAAAGCCATGGATTTTCCCAAGCATGTCCTTGCCCCAGTTAGGAAGGTCATGAACTTATACGAGGGGATATGTAATATCGTTCCTGTCTCCGAAATCCACCTCTCCGGTTTGAACTCCATGCAATCTTTTCCCCATATATTTTCCATTCTTCCCATGGAGTATATGGAAAACACTATCCTCTCTTCTTTATGAACCGTGTGCCCGCTTGGAAGGACATCCGCCTCCACGACGCACTTGTGCTCGAATGGAACTGGTGGGTATAACCTTAGTGTCTCGCAAACAGTTGCATGGAGATACACAAGTTTGTGCAACTCGTTGTTGTTCATAAACCCCCCTCCTCTTTCTTCTTCTGATTAGCCAAAAATTAGTTTTCTCATTTAGTATCTAGAAAATGCAAGCTGAACATTAAATTCCATGATCATGACAAAATTTTCCCTTACCATCAACCTCGTCGTTTGGTGGTCGGGCCGCTATTGCTAGTCCCAGCTCTTCCAAAATCCTTTTTTCGACGATGGGGTGGTTCACCACACACCACATCAGCCAAGTAAGGCTGGCAGTGATGGTATCCCTCCCGGCAGCAACTAAGGTGAACATAGTGTCCCTCAAAAAGCTGTTGGAAGTTTTATCAACGATTTTTTCGTCACCCCTGCCATCCTCATCTTTCATGACCAAAACTTGTGTTAGCAAATCCCGCTTGTCATTGCCGATGGAGTGTTTCTTCGTTGCTAATTCTTGCTTCTTCATGTTGATGGTACCATACAATAACTGATCTACGGTGCTCCAGGCTCGAATGCACTTCCACTCCATTCCAATACGAAGCCGGTGTTGAAACCTCCACACGCATATTGGAACCATGTATCGGTATATCACCACCTCTCCCAACTCATCGAATGCGTTGCTACACGCACTCTTGGGGAGCCTGCCGCCCTCAAACTCGGCGGGAAGGTATTTGGGGTCGAATCCCAATACCAACATGCACATGTTGTCAAACATGAACCTCTTAAACACGTCTTGTATATCCAACGCCTCGTCCCCGCCAACTCTTGTTGCTGCTCTGTCGAGGACCGGCAGAAGGTTGCTCCTCATCTTCCTTTCGAGGGTCTTCATGGCATGACCCTCGAACTCGGGGTTGTTCAACAAGGAATGGAGGAGCTTCCTCTGGAACTTCCACGAGTCGTCATCAACATTAAAGATCCCGTCGCCCAGAGGATCCATTATGGCCCTGAAGTCGCGACCCTTCTTGTAGTTGGCCGCGTTCTTGTTGAAGATGTGGTTGATGTTTGTGGGATCACTCGTCAACACGAAGTCGGCATTGATGAAACTGGGTCCCTTGAGAAGGAACGTTCCCCCTGTTCGCCTCAAGGCTCGAGTGCAGAAGTCGTGGAGTGTGTAGTTGTATAAGCTTAAGAGGAGGCTAGGGAGCATCCCCAGGAATGGCCATTGGTAGACGGGTGAGTGCTTGTTTCTGAGGAGGCAGTGCCTTAGGAAGATGGCTAGGGAAAGGAAGACCAGTAGTAGTTCTGTTGCCATGTCTGTGCAGCAAGTTTAGCTAGGGTTTAGCTAATGTAATAGTGTAATGCATTTGTGTTGAAGACTAGTGGGCAATAAATAGTGGTGGTTGCAAAGTGAATGAATAATGATATGTGATAATCTATTGCTTTCACACTCCACCACCTTGGCAAAGTTTCTTTTTTTTGCACTTGACATAAATGATAAAACAATTAGATGAAATGTAATTTGAGTTAAATAGTACAATTTGGTTATGCATAGCATTGTTGATAGAGTTTGGTGAGATATATGATCAAACAAGCCCATTTTTCATATAAGATTATGCATAACAAATATATCCGGGTGGAAAACGGCTCTACAAACAAGTTGTGGCATAAATTAATAATTGGCGCAAACTAGTTTTTCTAGTTCAAATATTAGAATATTGTTGTTTAGAGTATTAAAATATTTGACTTAACAAAAGTAACGTGATACGGAACGCATGGTCGATTCGACTATGTGAAAAACTTGGTTACGTACGTCAGTCATACGTGACTACGAGCTCATCTATTTGAACAATCGGTAAACTTAAGCAAAAAGTAGCATATAGATGTAAAACATTGTGCAAATATTTTCTGTTGCAGCTTGTGCCCCGAAACATCATCCTACTATTTTGATTCTTTTGATCACATCCAATTTAATAGTAAAAGTAAAGTTGGTTACTAATTTCAGGGAAAAGGAAACGAACGAGTTAATTGCAACCACTTCACAAACCTCTCATAGCTGTTTACAGGTCAAAATTCTTTGTCACACGCCTTGACCCAAATTTGGGCCTACGCACACTAGCTACCTGTATTTATATATGAAAGCAACAGCTTAACGACCAGTTGAAACCGATATAAATTTTGTTTTTAATGTTAGTATTTAAAATATTCAAATCTGGAATTTTCAAGTTGAAAACCGATAATATATAGTACACCTAGAACAAGTTCTTATTCGTTTTATTTTTCTTAGTTGAGAGACAAGAAGTTCGTTGAGTCTATTCCATTTATCGCATGACAGAGAGTGGTTGATGAAATTGTGTATATATGATTATAGCTTATGAGATTGCATGAAAGAGACGCGGATAATATGGTCTCTCCCCCGGCCGAGATTGAGGTAAACGCGGTTTCTGTTAGAAGTTTAGGTACTTGATTGTAATTAACCACCCTATTTATTTGGTTAATTACAATCCGCAGGCCTAGGGTTCGTGGGAGGCTTGTATATATTTGGTGATTAAGTCGTTTGTAACCTTTGAGGACTCTAAGCTACGTAACGTAATCACAGCGAATCTAAGAGTTTTCCGCCTATCAATGGATTAGTCTCACTGTTATACGTTGAGGAATCTTGTGTCTCATTTATGTTTCGATTTCGTATTTTGACAGTGTCCCTCTCGGAAACTTATTGTTGGATCTTTTAGCAACGATTTGATTATCTTTAGCGACCATAGTTTACATTAGCGAATGTGTAGCAACTAGTAGCACCCGGGTTTCCCACCACTGATTCTTTTTTTTTTTTTTTTGATGAATGATGAAAAATTTTATTAGAAAAAAATTGCTAGCAGCTCAACCAATAGTAGAGCAAGCTAGCGACAATAATAAAAAAAACATTTTAAAATTTAGGTACAACGACGAGACTAGAACAGAGAGAGAGAAAAAGCAAAACAACAAAACGAAACAAAACATAAAGAGAACGAAGATCAAATAAGGTGCTTTATCCCGGTCGTCACCCACTCGTGAAAGAGTCCATCTGAGATCCGACTACGAACTCTTAGCCACCGTCCGACCATACGAACAATCTTGTTCCCGATCTCTTGTGGGGAGGAATCAACATCTCTAAAAATTCTATTGTTTCTCTCCAACCAGATGAACCAAAGTACTGCATGGGGCAACAACTTAATGCATTCACTAAACCGTTGATCACACCACAAGCCTCGCCAAGCAATGAGGAAATCACGAGTGGAAGGAGGGTAAGGGCCATGAAGATCAAATCCCTTTTTGAAGCTTTCCCACCACTGATTCTTGTTTCATCTTGTTCGTTTGGTTTATTGAATTTTTTATTAATATTTTTTTGGCATGACGGTATACAATTAACATATTTTGAGATAGAGATGGATGGAAAGACCGCTTTATTATTCACTCAATAATATTTTATTAAAACGTGCAAATAAAAATTTTGTGACCGTTTTGTACTAAGTGCATAGATTTTTGACCGTTTACACTAATTACCCAAAGATTCATACAATAATTTCTTTTACGAATATTCATACAATTTTTAGCATGTATATCCTTTGCTTGTAATCGGTTTTCTCATCACTAAGACGCAATCAATAGTGACAACCTTCTCCCGTAACAAATTCTAAATGTTTCTATGAGTTTGTACATACATCAAATATATTTCACACTGTCACTTGTTTAAGTTGTCACAAAAGCATACTTTTGTGACAAGAGTATCGTTGGAAGTGACAATTAGAAATAATAAAATTTAAGCTTTCATTGCCGTTTGGGTGCAAGCTGCATCAAACTCTATCCTATGTCTCTTTCCAGAAAAGAAATTCGCGGTTAACATTTAACAATACCTACTCCCACATGATTTGTTCCCTGATCTTGGCAAATGTTTCCATGAAAAGATGATCTGGTAGACAGGAGCTCCCATTAAGATTTCAGCTTTTAATTGACTAGTCTTTCAAGGAAAAATACTTACTTTGACCACCTGATTGTTCGAGGATGGACCCTCCCTAACCATTGTTCTACCTACTTTGTAAGAACCTCTGCATGGAGTGAGATTTCATTGACAATAGCGCTAAGCTTATGCTATTCTGCCACCATGAGTTGAATGGAATCCATTGTAAGCGTTGTAAGCTAGGTCTTCCACTGCCATCTTTCTTTGTCCGTTATAGGAGTTAGTGCACTACTTTTGGACACTCCAATTTTTTATGAATTATATTACCGCATTCATCAAAGAAGAAATACTTTATATGTGTAAGTGGGAGATGATTTTTCACTCTTAGAACACATGAATGTTTATTTATTAATACATGCTATATTTCATAACAGCCAAAGAGTACAACAACAATACTTATAGAAGTAGCTAGCATGCATTGATAACATATAACACGAAAGAAAACTTCACACGAGTAACGGAACCCTAGCTAGACATAATAACAAACTGATGGAACAGTCACTGTTACTAGACAACAACATACCATCATACATTAATTAATAGGAAATCAGCAATATATTTCTCAGTGATCTCTCCTGGAGACTCTTGCCTTCAGCCCGTCTTTCATATACAAGACCAACCCGACCGTCGTCCTAGCGGAGGGACTATTATCAGTGAGTTCAAACTTGTACTTCCACAGGAGAGCACTGGCCATGGATTTGATTTGCATGAAAGACATGGTCTTGCCCAAACAGGTTCTTGCCCCAGCCAAGAAGGTCATGAACTTGTAAGATGGGACATGCAGTATTGTCCCTCTCTCCGAAATCCACCTCTCCGGTTTGAACTCCATGCAATCCTTTCCCCATACATCTTCCATCCTAGCTATGGCGTATATGTAGAACAGTATCCTCTCTTCTTTACAAACCTTGTGTCCGCTTGGAAGGACATCCGACTCCACAGCGCACTTGTGGTCGTATGGCACTGGTGGATACAACCTCAGTGTCTCGCAAACAGTTGCATGGAGATACACAAGTTTATTCAACTCGTTGCTTCTCAGAAACCCTCCTTCGTCGCCTGGTTAGCCAAAAAAATTAGTTTTTTTTTTCATTTAGCATACCGAAAAATGCAAGATGAATTGTTCAAATTTCATGATCATAACAACATTTTCTCTTACCATTAACTTGCTCAGGTGGTCGCGCTGCGATTACTTGTCTAATCTCTTCTAGAATCCTTTTTTCAACAGTGGGGTGGTTCGCCACACACCATATCAACCATGTAAGACCCGCAGAGATGGTATCCCTCCCGGCTACAAGTAAGGTGAACATACTGTCCCTCAGGAACTTGTCGGATGTTTTATCAATGATCTTCCCGTCACATCTGCCATCCTCATCTTTCATGACCAAAAATTGTGTCAGCAAATCCGTCTTGTTTTTTGTCTGCTCATCATCGCCGACGCAGTGTTTCGTTGCAAATTCTTGCTTCTTCATCTCGATGCGACCATATAAGAACTGATCTATCGTTCTACTGCCTCGAATGAACTTCCACTCCATTCCAATACGGAGCCGGTTTTGAAGCCTCCACACGCATATGGGAACCATGTGCCGGTATGTCGCCACCTCCTCCAGCTCATCGAATGCTTCGCCACACGCATTCTCAGGGAGCCTGCCGCCCTCGTACTCAACGGGGAGGTATTGGGGGTCGAATCCCAAGACCAACAGGCACATGTTGTCGAACATGAACCTCTTAAACACGTCCTGTAGGTCCACTACCTCGGCTCTGTCGAGGATCGGCAGAAGTGTGCTCCTCGTCTTCTCTGTGAGGATGTGCATGGCGTGACACTCGAACTCGGGGTTGTTCAGCAAGGAATGGAGGAGCTTCCTCTGGAACTTCCACGACTCGCCGTCGACATTAAAGATGCCGTCGCCCAGAGCCTCCATTATGGCCTTGAAGTCCCGACCCTTCTCGTAGTTGGTCGCGTTCTTGTTGAAGATGTGGTTGATGTTGGCCGGATCGCACGTGACCATGAAGTCGGCGTTGATGAAACTGGGTCCCTTGAGAAGGAACGTTCCGCCGGTTCGCCTCAAAGCTCGGGTATGCAAGTCGTGGAGTGTGGAGTTGTAGAAGCTGAAGAGGAGGCCAGGGAGCATCCCGAGGAATGGCCATTGGTAGACCGGTGAGTGCTTGTTTCTGAGGAGCCAGTGGCATAGGAAGATGGTGACCAGGGAAAGGAAGGTTAGAAGTAGTTGTGTTGCCATGTTTCAGGAGCTAAGTTTAGCTAATGGAATAGTAATGAGGGGTTGGGGTTGAAGACTAGTGGGAAATAAATAGTGGTGCTTGCATAGTAGTGAACGATAATATGGTAAATGGTGCCAACCTTCATAAATGTCAAAGGGTTAATATTCCATCACTATTAAATTAATCCATCAAGTACTTAATGGTTTATTATCCTACGTTGGGATATCCTAGCATTCACGCACATAATTTGACTACATTAATTATGAGGTCCATCAAGCTTTTATTTTGATAAAAGAGGTCCACCAAGCTGGATCTTCTTTCCACATGCAGTAAATTTGGCGCTACACCTAACTTGTGTTCCCTCCATACCATATTTGGTTGTATAACTTTTTACTCTTAAAAAATGTTGGTTCAGATTATTATACCCTCTTCTACAGTGGAAATGGAATAATGGATCGGATAGGGTTGGTTTTTTCAAACTCAAATCCAATCCATCAAGAGAATCCACACACAAAAAATTCAATAATATACCTATTGGATTTTAATTAGAAGTTAAAATTCAATCCAACAAGTACCAGCGGATGCATGGGTATCCATGGATTCATCGGTATCCATTGGTTCACGAACATAACTGTAAATTTGAACACCCACATCCTTATACCATATGACATTTTTCTATAGTATATTGTTATAAATAATAATAAAATCAATAATTATTCATATTATTATAACTATATTTTCATAAAAATTAATAAAAACTATGAAATATTTATGTTATTAGGATTAGATGCAAACCAATATCTTTTTTTTTTCTTTTCGGGTACGGGTCTTGTGGAAATAGGCTAAATTTTAGCCAAATTTGTACTTAACCCAACCAGTCATTCCCAAAGTGGATTTTATCCACCAAACCAAAAATCCGACAAGTTACCTTCTTTAACCAAATTGAGCTGGGTTGGGTACCCACAGATGTTGGTTCAATTACCATCCCTACCCTTGCCTTGTAACTCGATATTTGGTTATGTGTTGGTATTATTGGTTATATGTGTAATTTATTAATTCTTGGCATTTTTCCATGTTTAAGTTAAGGATAAATCAAATGTTTATTTACATGTATCATAGTTTAATCGGACAATTAGGTTGGTCATGCTATGTTAATCGAGTCACAGGTTAGTCAGATTCTCAGTTAATTGGGATGTGGGTTAATTTGTAGGTCAATCAAGTGGAGGCTCCATCAAGTTACCGATCAACCAGTTTATCGGTTAATCAAGTTACTCGATAGACTAGTTATGTGTCATTGACTTTCGGTTAATTTAATTTGCGAGTGAGTAATGAGTTAGGTGAAATTGGCAAATTATTCAGGTCGGTTCTATTTTGATAGCTCAAGCACCAATTAGTTATTGTTACACCCGACTTTCACTGGCAATGGAAATTAAATGGAATGTTGAAGAGTAAGTACTAGTAACTAGCTCTATGGATAAATTTTATGACGTGGTTCATCCAACACGCATACCAATCGGCAATCGAAAGGGGTGAGTAAGGTCGCTAACAACTAAAAAAGCTAGCATCATTCTAATCTCCTTTCACTAGATTTTCTTTTAATCTAACGGATGGAATGATCGATATTTTTCTCGTTAAGACTCATTTGATTAATAGAGAATTTGGCAGCTTATGCAACGCACTCTCCCGACGATGGAGGCTTTGATCCGGAAGAAGGTCCTGGTCTTACCACGTTGTCCTGTTTGCTGGGCTCCGGAAGAAAATATAGAACATTTATTTTTATGGTGCCCGGTGGCAGTAGTGATGTGGGAAATGGCAGGGTTGCGGGATGACTTGTTGATTGGTCAAGAGCAAGCGTTCTCTATTTTCTTCCGGCGGTTCTTGGAGCGGGATTCTTCTTCTGCGAGAGTGGTTCGTCTTGTTTGTCTTCTCTGGCGGATTTGGAAGTCGAGAAATTTGGTGGCCTTTGAGGGACAGCAAGACACATTCGCAGTGCTGGAAAGGCAGTTCAGATTTCAGGTTCAAGAATGGATGGATAGTTTACCACCGGTTAGTGGGAGAGTAGCTGCCTCAGTAGTGCAGGTGGTGGAGCCGGGTAGTGTGCCGGGTGTATACAGGTGTGCCTTTGATGGGGCGATTTCTAAGGGGTCGCATGGCTCGGTTGGGATGGTCCTGCAGGATGAGGCTGGAGGGATTCTAATGGCACGGGGGTTGTGTATCGCTGGTATGGTGGATCCGATGCTGGTGGAGGCAATGGCTCTTAGAGATGCGCTGTGCTGGTGTGCAGAGACTGGCCTTTCGGCGGTTCAGTTTGTTGGTGATGCGAAGGTGGTGATCGACAAAGCTAACGCAGGGACCAGTAGGGATGCGAAAGGCGGAGCTATCTTCCAGGAAATTTGTCGGCTGCTGGGAGCTAATGTTGGATTTCGAGTGATGTTTGTAGGTAGACAAAACAATAGGGTGGCCCATTTGGTGGCCAAAAAAGCACTCGATTTGTTTCCTACGGGAAGTGTTGGTTTTGATTTTCGGGCGTGGTTGTGCTCGGAAATTGGTTTGATGTAACTTTTTTGTCTTGGTAATGCAAGTATCTTTTCGACAAAAAAAAAAGATATGGTCATGACAAATAATTTAACAGTCAAAACTTTTATAATGACATTAAAAAATGTTCCTATCCAATGGAGACTAGGCAGTGCCATCAAGAGTTAAACGACGGCGCATAAGGTATTAGAGTTTCACTCCACAACCTTTTTTTTTTCAAAAATGCTTTGATATTTTGAATGATAAATATTAATTCGGTAAACCGAAAAAAATGAAATAAAAATGTCTGATGTATTTGCTTCGTCGAAAAGATGACTAATGTCTAATTGTAATGAATGGCGACTTTAATTTTCTGATATCATAAATTGTATTTTTTCATAGGTTTAGATATTATTAATTTTCAAAAATAAAGGTGTCAAAATAATTTTGCATTAACACAAAAATTACTGTGTCGCCTCAAGTCCTCAACTGCCCACCGCTACTCCAGTGCGTTGGTAGGTTTCCATTTGTTTGCTGGGTTGTTTTCCTTATCATATTGCAGGAAATTCACATCCGTGTTGGAATATCTTTTGTCGAGTGTTCAAAACTTCAAATGGCCTAAGTTTGCGTTCTCCTGTTCTTGGGCCTCATGTCCACTGCCATACACTAAAGCTCAGAATTTGTCGGGCCATCAAGACTCTTCATGTTATTTTTTTTTTATAACCCAATAACATCTCCACGCACACATTACATTTTGTGATGACGGAACGAGACCAAACTTGGGAGGCCACCTGCACACTTTACGTGCCAACGGAGCTTTACCCACAGCAACCAAACATGCCTTTGGGAACACCACAGTGGGCCTCGAGGGGCGGTCGAATATGGGACCTCCAACTTCCCGCAACGAGCGACCACGAGGGTTCACCGCTAGACTATGTGACCTTCGACGTCATGTTATTGATTTTTCAAGACGGTTATGGGTTCTGATGTTTGAGATTAAGTTTTTCAAATTTATTTGAAAAGAAGTCTCAATTTTTAATTCAGTCTCCTTACTTCCTTTTTTACTTATAAGGGTGATATAAGTTTATTTTTTTAATTAGGTGCTACTTTAAATATTCAAATATGAGGCCTCCAGTTACATTACGACAGGATCAAATTCTTATTCGCCCCGTTCCTTCATTCCTAGAAAGGAAATTTTTTCAATTCAATTTTTTTAAGAGCATGACCTATTAAATATATAAATATGATGACATATATGTGATACAAATTGAACATTCAATTCTTAGATATCTCATGTTGACTTATATAAAATGATAACAATCAAAGAGTACAACAACACTCACAAGAATAGCATAGCCATAGGGAACCTAGCTAGTTCCTCCCCAGATAATAAAACACATGGACAAAACAAATTATAAAAAGAAGTAGACCTCACACGACTCATTAAGCCCTAGACATACTGACAAATGATTAAGCACTTCAACTAGACCACAACAAACATATATTAAGAAAGCAACATGAACAAGAACAATATTATTCTCAGTGGTCTCTCTTGGATACTCTCGTCTTCAACCCATCTTTCATAAACAACACCAGGCTAATCGTTGGCCTTCCATAGGGACCATCATCTATAAGTTCGAACTTGTAGTTCCAAAGGAGAGCACTAGCCAGGGACTTGACTTGCGTGAATGACATATTCTTCCCCAAACATGTCCTTGCTCCAGCCAAGAAGGTCATGAACTTGTACGACGGGACATGTAGTATTGTCCCTTTCTCAGAAATCCACCTCTCTGGTTTGAACTCCAAGCAGTCCTCTCCCCATATCTCCTCCATCCGGGCCATGCCGTATATGGAGAATATTATCCTCTCTTCTTTACGTACCGTGTGCCCGCTTGGAAGGACATCTGCCTCCACGGCACACTTGTGCTCGAATGGTACAGGTGGGTACAACCTCAGTGTCTCACAAATGGTTGCATGAAGGTACACAAGTTTGTTTAATTCGTCATTTCTGAAAAATCCTCCTCTTTCTTCTCCTGGTTTGCCACAAATATTAATTCTATCATTTAGTATCTAAAAGACAGAAAAATATGTACATTTGTCTATATTTAAATATTTTATCTTACCATCAATATCACTTGACAGCAGTCGAGCTGCCATCACTTGTCTTAGCTCTTTGAGAATCTTTTTCTCAATAGCGGGGTGGTTCGTCACACACCATATCACCCAAGTAAGGCAGGCAGTGATGGTGTCTCTCCCGGCTGCGATTAACGTTAATGTAATGTCCCTTAGAAACCTGTCAGATTTTTTATCAATGATTTTTCCGTCAGCACCGTCATCCTCATCTTTCATGACCAAGACTTGTGTCAGCAAATCCAACTTTTTTCTTTCATGCACATCATTGCTAACGGAGTGCTTCGTCGCTAATTCTTGCTTCTTCCTCTTGATGCTACCATACAAGAACTGATCTAGGGTGCTCCAAGCTCGAAAGCACTCCCCCTCGATTCCAATGCCAAGCCGATGCTGAAGCCTCCACAGGCATACGGGAACTATGTGTCGGTAGATCGCCACCCTCTCCAGCACGTCGAATGCCTTGCCACATTCACAATCAGGGAGCCTGCCGCCATCGTCGGACCCAACGTCGGGGAGGTAATGAGGGTCGAATCCCAAGACCAACAGGCACATGTTGTCGAACATGAACCTCTTAAACACGTCTTGTAAGTCCACCAACTGGTTGTTCTCCTCCGTCGTCGTCCTCCTCCTCGCTGCTCTGTCGAGGACCGGCATAAGGGTGCTCCTCATCTTCTGCGTGAGGATCTGCGTGGAGTGACCCTCGAACTCGGAGTTGTTCAACAAAGAATGGAGGAGCTTCCTCTGTAACTTCCACGAGTCGCCGTCCACATTGAAGATCCCGTCGCCCAGAGCCTCCATTATGGCCTTGAAGTCGTGGCCCTTGTCGTAGTTGGCGGCGTTCTTGTTGAAGATATGGTTGATGTTGGCGGGATCGCTCATGACCAGGTAGTCGGCGTTGATGAAGCTAGGCCCCTTGAAAAGGAACGTTCCCCCGGCTCGCCTCAAACCTTCTGTGATGAAGTCGTGGAGTGCGCGCACGTTGACGAGGAGGCTAGGGAGCATTCCTAGCAATGGCCATTGGTAGAGCAGTGAGTTCTTGTTTCTGAGAAGAGAGTAGCATAGGAAGATGGCTAGGTAAAGGAAGGTTAGAAGTAGTTGTGTGGACATGTTTCAGGAGCTAGCTGTCTAGTTTTGCTAGGGTTTCGCCAGTGGAAATAGTACTGTTGATTGTGCGTTGGTGTTGGAGATTAGCGGGGGAATAAATACTAGTTCTTGCATGGTGCGTGTGCACTAACCTCCATTCTCCCACCAACAAAAGTATTAACCATTAGAGAATTTATGAAGATAGAGCTGCACAGCCTGCACTGTAATAGCTACGTTGGATCGGAGAAGGGTAGATAAGGGGTAATGGTTGAAGCAATAATGGGGATGCATACGGTAAATTTTTACGGCAATAAGTTTCACCTATATATAATTTTGGTAGGGTCAAAATATTGAAACCAAGACATCAATGCTGGCAGGCAATAGTAAAACCAAGCAGCTGCTATGTATCTGCCTTCTGCCCAATCTTCATAAATATACCAAAGACAAGCAGAATTATATTCCTACGATACTAAAATATTGTTGATATGTGATTATGTTAAAAAATCAAAGTTATTTCGGAAGTAGTTTATTAGTTAAAAAATCAAAGTTGAGTGACTGATCTATTAGTGACCCAAATCATTACATCTAGTGACCACTAAAGATTGAATTGGATACAGTCCGGTCTTGACCCGACCGGTCCCAATTTTACCTTGATTTTATGTGTTAGGGGTCTCTTATCCAGTCTTTATCCAGTTTTTTACCTCAAATCTAAGCTCGAATATGAGATTGCATTGTTTGCTATCCGGTCCCAGTCGGATCCCGGTCCGGATTATACGGTCCGGTTTCGGGTAAAACCAAACAGTCCGGGACCAAATAGCCAGCCCTAAAATTAAGTAACTGACCAAGATTAATTATTACCATGGCGATTTTCTTGTGAGTGAATATTTGACACGATGATTTTCATGAAAAAGGAAGTTTCACTACTGCGGGGCGTACACGAACGTACGTATACGTAGGCCCATATCCATGCATGATAAATATTGAATTACAAAAACAGTATCGCTCACTGACGAACTTATAATCACCTGCCAGTAGGGCTGGCTATTTGGACCGGGACCGGATGAAAAACCGGAAACCGGACCGTATAACCCGGACTGAGACCGGACCGGGACCGGATAGTAAACAATCCAATCCAATCTTTGGGCTTAGATTTGAGGTAAAAACCCGGATAAAGACCGGATAAGAGAGCTCAACACCCAAAACTTAAGGGTAATTTGCATAAACGGTCACAAACCTTTGCACTTAGTACAAAACTTAACCAACTCCTCACCCTTTTAGGCTTTAGGCCACTCAAATTCTCACAATCTCAATATAAAATCAAGACCGAATTGGGACTGGATCGGGTCAAGACCGGACCGGATCAAGACCGGACTGTATCCAATCCAATCTTCGGTCCTTATATTTTCAAAAAACCCGGACTGGACCGGATCAATTTGGGCCAATTTAACCGGACCGGACCGTATAGCCACCCCTACCTGCCAGGGGAGAGGGAAGAGATGGTCTTGCCACTCTAGGATCCACTTGGTCAGTGATGAAGATAAAATCTTGTATACTATATTTCAAGTGAATCTAATTGTTAGATGTATTTTATTGAACTTTGTTGGATTAGAGTCACAGATTAATATTAATATTCGGATTTGAATTTAAAGAATCGGTGTTTGGGATTTATTCACTAAATGTTAGAGTATAGTCTCATATCTCAAACTCGCTTTAATTCGTGTTCTAAATACGTATATCTCGCTAGGAGTATTTGAAATATCATACATTCTACGAGTACGCCAGTCTGAACTATATAAAGTGTGTGTTATCAATGGTCGGATTATAATTGACCACCTCTTCCTATGGGGATGATCTTGGGTTTGTGTTGTGTGGTTAACTTATTATGTGGATACTAGGTTGTGGTGTGTCTTTTACTTATTAATGTTTGTAAAACTAAATTGATATTGATCCCATGCAATAAGAGATATGGCAATGAGTAGCCATGGGTTCACGAATTTCATCCTACATTATTTCTTGAAACACATACATCTATTGAAATATCCTTACAAATATATCTCAACAAAAACTACTACCATCCATGAAATCATCCATATTGTTAGATTTTATTGTCATAAAGACTAATAACATCTATAAATAATTCTTATAATCATATTGTTTCGACTAGATATAAAATTATCGTTTTGCTTTATCGGTTGGTGCAAAGACGATGGAAAATTAGTTGGATTTTGACAAAACTCACGGCCGACCAAACCCACCAATTTAAAAAAGAAACGAGTGAAATTCCCACCCAACCCAAAAATCATCAGTATTTAGTACTAAATTCCACCCTCTTTCACCAGGTAGGATCGACTTGGATAGTTGTGAGTTTGGGTTGAATTACCGCAAAGAGTTCTCCCATGGATAAAGTAGCATTTTCTTAGGATGTCGCAATCCTACCTTCAAGAAGAAGCTGAGGCAATCAAGAGGATCCCTATTGGTTCGAGTGATATGGAGGACTCGTGGGTGTGGCATCTTGAGAAATCAGGGGCTTTTTCTATAAGTCGGCCTACCAGATCTTTAGAGCGTCTGAAAGAACTAAGACTGGTTTTGACGACCCTAATCACCGTGATTGTTCCATCAAAGCATGGAAGTGGCTTTGTAGTTTATCTCTCCCACCAAAGATCCTCAATTTCATTTGGAGGATCACTAGATAAGCAATGGCGACAAAGAAGAATATTTGGTTTCGAAAAGTGATTAACTCGCCTAACTGCACGCTTTGTGATGGTGATATTGAGGATGTGTGGCATTGTCTTTTTGGATGCCCCAATGCTATGCACATATGGCAGGAGGGCTTTGCCGATCTCCCTTTCCCTCCAAGCACCCTCTCTATCCTTATGTGTCTCTTCAATCTCCATGAAGTGATCCCTTTCAACTCTTTAGTGGCAATGATGACTCATCTGTGGGCTCTTTGGAATGCTCAAAATGAATGAGTGTTTAAAGGTGTTTGTCCACAACTTAGAACAACATCTGCTAAGGCCTTTAGATATTTCCACCTTGTACAATCCTTGATCTACCGCCTACTTATTTCCAGCAGGAGATATAATGTGATGGAGCTTTTCTCTCAGAATTCTAGATGGCGGCTTATGGTGTTGATTGAAATCATCATGGACAAGTGATTGATAGAAAGGTTGTGACCCTTTTTGTTCATCGGCGATTGTGGCGGAAGCGAAGGCTGTATTGATTGCACTAAAGATGGATCAAGACTCTGGTTGCTCTACGATTATCTTTTCTGACTGCCAAATCACCATCAACATTCTTCTCAATCGGAGAAGTTCTTGGCCAAGGCAAGTGAAGGCTTGGATCTACTATATGAAGCACACACTTTCTCAAAACAATCTTATCAAGGTGACTTTCACAAACAGAAGGAACAACAAATGTGTTGATTGGGTTGTAAAAGAAACTATGGGAGGTTCATTTCCTTCTAAGTGGATTCATATCCTTAACTTGGTCCCCCCCCCCCCCCCCTTGCTGTAATAGGCCATGCTTGTAAATCAATAGCTTCATCAATAAATCTCACCATTTGTAAAAAAAATGGTCACCATATGAGTTTGCAATCTGAGCTCCAGAGTCCAGTCGTCTACCAGGCCCGGAAAGCTTGCAAATTACAAATGGGTAGGCCCATATGAAAAAAACCCACTAAAAATAATTAACACAACGAGATGACTCTAACAGGCCCATACATGAAAACCCCAATATTGCCCTTAGATTATTGAATTATCATAAGCACAAAAGCATTTCGCTGTGTTGTTCTCAGGTAAATCTATTTAATTACTAATAATTAGACAAACAATATATAAATATTTTAAAAAATAGACATTAATCTATTATAGTTAATTACTTTTTAACGGCGCTCCACCTCATCGTCCACCTCAGCATCCTATAAAATAAAAAATCATAAAAATTATTTCAAAATAAAAATAAAATAAAAACTTTCCCTTCGTCTCTTCCCACAACTGATCTGTCCTTCCTCCCTCTCTCACTTCTCCGACTCCCCTTTCTGTCTCGCCGACTCCTCATGCTCCCACCTCACCACCCGCCACCTCCTCCCTTCATGCTCTTCCGCTTCTCTCCGACACCCATCATAGCAGGGCTTCCAGTCCGACGTCATCGACTATCTCTCCCATGATAAGGATGATGGCGCGGCTCCCAAAAACCTAGGCGAATCTCTGGATCTGCTCGAGTGAAAGCATGCAGATGGGGTTGATGGGAGAGAGAGTGAAGGCACGACTGCGTCGGGCGGTGTTAAAGTAGTCAAACAGTTCAGATTCCATCATCTCCAGCAGGGCAGATTGAAGATGCAGAGAAGAGCTGGAGAAAAAGGTTTCATTGAAGAACGAAATGTGTTTCGGGACTCGAAAACGATTCACTATATGGGGAGTGTTTCGAGCCTTCGTCCCAAAACGCAGCACTTTATGTTTTACATTTTATTTAGTGCAGTTAGTTATTACTAGCCTATCGTTGCTTTCCAAGTGGAATTGTAATCGTTTGTTACCGTTAGTAAATAGTAAACCTTGAACTGCTATAAATAAAAGTCTCACCCAGCTACTCTAGCTGAGATTTTCCGATCCATTTCTCGCCTAGCTCGATATTTTCTACATTGTATCATAGCCCCATATTTTAAGATTGTTCACATCGGCGATGTCCGGCACTACTACGCCACTGGTTACTCCAGGCGGCGGCTACCAGTCGGGTGTTGGATTCTAGTTTGGGACTTATGCATAATCTTTAGCTCCGGGTGGCAGAGGTGAGATCAAATTTGGGAATCCCTTCTTCCTCAATCGGAAAGAGAATCTCTCTCAGTCGATTATTTTTTAGGTTTTGGATGGTACCAATTACTCGATGTGGAGTCGTACTATGCAGATGGCCCTGAAAATGAAGCATAAGCTTGGTTTTGTGGATGTTTCGGTTAATGCACCTCCTACTACTAATGACTTGTTTCCCTAGTGGGATGGCTACAACACCTTAGTTCTTTGATGGATTACCAATTCGCTCTAGAAAGAAATTGCTTGCAACATTATGAATCATGAGAACGTGTTCTTTGAGACGAATTGAAGCGTCGATTTGGGAAACCTAATGCCATGCACATTATCAATTTAGAGGATGCGATCCAGGCCTGCAAACAAGGAGACCG